ACCGTAATAGTTTTGAATGCCGAAAAAGAATTTGGTTGGAGTTTTCTTAAAATATTATTTTATATTCAATTTTCTTCACAGTTCGAGTTACGTGCTGGGATGTTTGATGCGAAATTGTGCACTGTGTAGTCTACCGACTCGCGCAACAAAATTTTGCGATTCTGCTTGTTCGTAGAGTCGCTGAGCCTGATGTTTAACGTAATCCTTTAAATGAGGGATGTCGAGATCTCTGTGTAGGGTCTCGTTTGAGACATACCATGGCACATTGGCTATGGTTCGTAGTCCCCTGTTTGGCAGGACCTGCCGAGTTCGCATTTTCGTCTTCACTAAAAAGCACCAGGCTGCACATGCGTATGTAATGGTGGGTCTGATGATCACTTTGTAAAGCCGACTCTGTTAATCCATTTTGAAGATCTACATAAGATAGGATAACGTTGTCGGAATGTATTTGAAATTCAGTTTATAGCGTTTCTTTGTGTTTCTGCCAGATCAAACCCTTCGCAAATTTAACTCCAAAGTATCTAACGGATTTTTTCCACGCTATCAGAGTCCCATCTACAGAGATCTCTGACGGGGGGGACTCTTTTTGGTACAATACAGGTAGATGGCCTGTGTTTTTGAGTAGATAATTTTGATCAGTTACTAATTTACCCACTCTTAACACTTCTTCCACCGCAAATTGTAGCTAGTGATGGACTAGGTTTCCAGAACAGGACTGGGTCACTAATGCAGTGTCATCAGCATACAGATAGACTATATAGTTGTTGGGGCTAGGTACGTCATGAATGAACAAATAATAAAAGATTGGTTCAAGAACGAACCCTGAGGAATACTGACCCTATCTGCCCATTCCAATACCTCGTCCACCGCATTTCACAGCCTTTCGTGAACTAAATTCCCAGAACTCGACTGGGTCACCTGCGCAGTGTCATCAGCATATAGATAGACTTCACAGTCGCCGGAGCAAGGGACGTCATGAATAAAAATGAATAAAGATTGGTCCGAGAACCGAACCCTGAGGGACATCGGCTTTGATGGACCGTGTTATCGACAGAAACTTATTCATTTTGATCCAAAATTTCCTACCCTTAATTGAGGATTTCAAAAGTCTTAGGATCCAGAAGGGAAAGCCCTTTTGGATTAATTTATAGAAGAGGCCCTTGTGCTACACCTTGTCAAATGCCTTTGAGACATCCTGAAACAAGATGTCAGTATGTTCGTTAATGGTGAATCCCCTGGTTACTCGCTCAACAAGCGTAACCGCATGTAACTCCGTACTATCCTTAGACAAAAACCCAAATTGCACGTCAGGAATCACCTTGTGGTCTGACAACAAATGTTCAAGGTGATGTAGAACCACCTTTTCATCGATCTTAGAAGAAGTCGACAGTAGCCTAATGGGGCGGTAATCCTAGAAGAATATCGAACCCACCTTCTTTGTAATCATATCAGCGGTCTTCCACCCCACTGGGAAGCACTGGATCCTTATCTTGGTATTGATTATTGCCATGAGATCGGTTAAGGACTTCCGCGAAAGCAGCTTTTGACGTGATTCGATCCTCTGCAGTTGCTTTACGCACCTTAAGGTCTTTAGTATGACCTTGAAGCTCTGCCGGTGTGCAATGCGGGATTTTGAGAGATTCCGCTGATGTGCCCTGCAACTCTTCAGTTGAGGAATCTTCTGAACAAGACTTCTCTGAGGAATAATCACTAAGGGAGGCGCCACTACCACTGACGCCGTTGGTCCTAAAATATCTCCTGACAGATCTGGCGGAGTGTTGCTCCTCGTCGAAGTCATTGTCAAGATTACAGTTGGGAGAAATCTGTCCTTCCTCAGCATCAGCGAAAACCCCTTTCCTCTGCCCCCAGAACCGTGGATGTGCGAGAGTTGTTCTCGCTTTCCGTTTCTGAGCGAATTCGTAACTTTCCAGAGAGAAATACTTGAGTCAAGCATCTCCGCTAGAAAGTTGCTCCATTGCTCATTTCGGAATTTATGAAGAGCATATCTTGTTTCATAAACAAGATACGGCGCTCTGCGAATTTCGTCAGGATGAAACAAGTGGACCCCAGCAGTCCTAAAGGACTTTCAGATATCCTCTTCTCGCAGCCTGGCACCACACGTAACATACACCGAAGCGATCAATGGAACGTTTCCCGCCATATTGTCGATCACATGCGCTGCTTCAATGTTCAGCATTTCAGCGCTTGTGCTTCTGTAATAGTCAATACCACATTAATAACCACTGCCACGTCTTCGCCTAGTCCATTCAGTCGGGCACGAACAATTCCAAAACAGAATTTTGACCAATGCAGGCTCGCTGCTACTGCACCTAGCCATTTAGTGGCTGGTGAAGGACCACCTGCAAGGCCTGGATAGCGCTAATCAGAGGACTGATTATTATTTATAAATACCTTGAATCTGTTGCTAAGTTCACGTTCTATGAGGTTAGAGAGAAGTTTGGAACAGCGGGCGCAGGCATGATTGCTACGCTAGCAGCTTCCGCATAATATTTATTCCGCCTTTCAACTTCAGGTTCCTTCGCCGAGTAAACTTACAGGTCTACTATTTGCCGGGTGCCCCTCAGGACAGTTTGCACATTTGCGCGCCTCTTCTTCTGTATGAGGGCTCAAATGTGTCATGTGGATCTGAACACATTTCACACACTTGGGAGGCGCAGCGCAGTACGTCGCACCTTCCCATACCTCTGGCAGCGGTGACTCTTCCCAATAAGTCGAGTGTTCTTTTGAACGTGGGCTCCGATTTCCAGATCCAACAGCTCGTGTTCGTTAAAAATCAGCTGCGACTTGTCAACTTAGGCAGTATTACCACCACCAGAGGCAGAGGAACGATGCCATTAAGCTTCGAGCGATTTATGTGTTAAGGGGAGTATCCCTTTTGCTCTAACTCGTCCTTGTCCTCTTGTACATCAAACGACGCGGTGATACCTCTTATTACGGTCTGTAAATTCCTTTCACATGGGAGGAAATGTGTGGTGTGGTACCTCTTCCTCTTTGAAAAGACGAATCACCTATAGTCGTGGTCTGTTTTAGGCATAACGCGAATCCCCGCGTCAACAGCGACTTTAATGCCCAGTCTTATAAATTTATAGCTGAGCACCCGCCACCCCGCAGCTATCAGTGTGATTCGCGCTTGACGGGGCTGTCCCGATGTCTGACTCGCAGCAGTGCGGGGTGATAAAGGCAAAACATTAACAACGTTAGCTTGAGGGGTTGGTTGAATAGTGGAAGAGGGCACAGAAGAGTTGTTAATGGTCGGCTTGGTAGGTGTCATAGTGGAGGGAATTGATCAGCTCGTTAGTACTTTCGTCGTCCATTGAGGTGAGATTTGAGGCTGCCAGATTGTCGTACTGCGTTTATTGGAGATTATTTTGTTCTCCTTTCGAACATTTTGGTATTCCTTAATTCTGCTACAGGTTTTATCAGCTTTTCCTTTTTTCCATCATTGGCATTGCTTTTGGAATCAGCTCTCTTTGGGGAAGTAGCTAGATCTCCTGTGGTCCCGTCGGAGTCGCACTCCTTTTTAATTTTCCGTCTGTGATTGCGTTTTTTCTTGACTATCAAAATCTCTCTTGCGCAAAAAAATTGATTTTTACACAAATTACCCATACAGGGCGATTTGTCATTTTGCTTTTCTTGGCGTTTTTGATCGGCAGTGTGACTGTCTTCTTCGAAGGATAAAGATACCATAGAGATCTTTTCGCGAGATCCCGTAGTGAACGCAGCGGGAGCAGATGTAATTTCCCCTTCCTCTCGAAGTTTTGACAGTTTCAAGATACACCGGGAGTGGTTAGATGGCGTATGTTGCGCAAAATGTTTGCTTTAAGCTGAAATAAAAAGATCGATCGTTTGTGCAATGTACATATATTATATCAATAAAATCAAGCATTTGATATGACAAGTGCGGTTCCTATGTCTTTGATGACCTTCTCCCTCGATATTTAAAATCAGATGGACGTGTTCCTCCATTTATGATTTAATAATTTAAGTTTCTGCACTGCGAAGACAAATTTTCAATTGAGATGTCTTTTTTTAAATGACATTGACATAAGACCTATCACCCGCTAGTACCTCACCGACGTTAGGCAGTTACCGTACCACGTGGTTTTTTGACATTTAGATGACGTCACATCCGTCTTCCCCTATTCCCGTTTTTAAGCGAAAATTTGTGTATCGGTTCCCGGCTTAAATTCGGCAACACTGTATAAATAAATTTGTTGACTTAAACCGGTCCCACGATGTGGCGAATGCCTTACAACGTTTACACATGACCATTCGCCACATCGTGTGGGAGAGCGCTTACGAATTGTATGTGTCCAACGTTCGCCACATGGCACGTTCGGGCTCTTGTCGATTAATTTGACCCGTGTCAAAGGACGTTACAACGTTGGAAGCACAGTTCGTTACGCTCCCACACGAGATGTCCAGTAGCGGCGAAAAACATTATTTTTCTTGTTTGCTGTGATTGTGGTGAACTAGTGGTATGGGTTAAGTATTTTGATTTGAATACCTACCTATTAATAACAATGTATGTTTCGTAGCTAACTTTTGAGGAGAATGAATTAAATTAGTATACATACAAAGCAGCGACAACAACACTTTTTTCATATTGCTAATATTTTGCACGTTTCGCAGGTGAGTTATGGCTGGCCTAAGGATATGTATTCTGGTAAATTATAAATTGTCAAGTGCTTAGAGTTGTTTCATTATAATGTCTGGTTGCAATGCAAGCCTAGTTGAGAAATATATTGACTTGCATTTCATAACTAACGAAAACGATTAAATAAATGATCACTCTGAAAGTAGCTACTATCAGGATTTTGATAAAATTTCGACCCTAGGTTACTACTATGAAAATGACAAAAAAGCTCTTCAGTTTGTTGTATACAACGTTGGAAGCATCGTGTAGGACACGCATCACACTGACGTGTGTGACAGCACATCGACGGTGCAAAGCATAGACAATAGACATTTGTTGAGTAGTGTATATGTTTTGTGGCGTGCAAGGCAAGGAAAGAGCGGCGGCCTTTTTTGTAGTTTTTGTTGATGAAATAAAAAGACATCATTTAAATAATAATCTAGTATCTATAGTGAATAAGTAAGGTGTGAAAATGTGCAACATGCTGCTGATGGCATTGCTCAACAGCGTGGACTTCTACATACGTAGCAAAGCTTCGGTGATGTATAAAGAAAGGACTATGTTTTTTATGATGTCCCAGTGACATAACATCGTTGTATAAATATTTAAGAATAATCTAATCCTAATCGCGCTTCATACTAAATGGCAACAGCATTAAAAAGGCAGAGATCGCGGCGAAGACTAGCCGCAGTAACGTTTTTGTCGAATATTTCTCTGGACGGCAGTTATAAGGACACCCGGCTAGCCCTTCTACCCAGGAATGGGGCCATCACGAAAACACCTTTCATAGGTCAGTATTATTGTCGCACGATTGGTTCTTTGTGCATGGATCAACAATTAAAGGATATACGACACTTTTATTATAATCTTTTCTTATCTATGCCGTATTTACGTGATAGCCAGTGGCGCGCCGATTTTGTTTTAAAAAGGAAATGTCGTTGGAAATTGTGATGCCGATATCACGGCATATTAAATACGTCGTCTTGAGTATCGGAGCCGGTACTGCGTTCAGTCTAGCCTAGCATTCAAAGTCAACCTTTATCCAGAAGTAATCACAAATGACAGCATTTGTATTCTGCTCTAGAGCTGTAAAAATTCCCTGCTTGTTGCAATTGGACCTAAGATAAAAGGATACATTGCTGCAGCTGTAGAATAGTCATTTATGCATTAAGTCAGCAAAGTGGCACTTTGCCACACAAGAATAGTACATTACTTACTTAGCTTGAGATGTAAGCTATTGTTGGTTGAGCATTTTTATTATTTCCTCATATGTGTGAGATTCGTAGTGGTCATCTCAAACAAGGTAACTAAACAACATTTACAAAACAATAACAGTAGTTAGTAATGCTTTTAATAGAATTTTTTTCACACATAATGGATGCAGATTTATCTAATGACTAGTTTTCAGTTTCAGATGATAGTAAGGTGATAAAGTTTTTTTATTTATGTCATTCTGCTAGCAGTAGTAAAAGCCATTTTCTGATACTTTGGCAAATATGTTTAGAGGAGGTTTTGAAGAGGATTAAAAAAATAAAAATGATTTGACTGTACTATTGTCACTAATAGTTCGCCAACATCTAGCAACAAATAAATGCACATACCATTGCTGTAAAACTCTTCATAGAGACCTCAATGTCCCTCACCTAAGGGACTTCATTAAGCAACAGGTGCAGCTGCGCTATAGCCTAACAGAGTCGCACAGCAACCGTCTGATGCGCGAGTCAGTGGACTACACAGTTGACCAAGTTCGCAAACGCCCAAAAGGCCGCGGCTCGCACTGTAATCAGAATTAATTTGTGAACCTAGAACATCCAAAATTGGAGCATTTTGACAAAATCTTAAGAAAAAATCAAGTATTTTTAGACCATATTGAAAATCTTGAAGTGATTTTAACAATGCCTAAATGCTGCCTATCCTAAAAGATTCTCTTCTTCCCCTTTGTTCTTGTTCTTCCTTCTCTCCTTTCCTTCCCTTTTTTCCTTAAAATTGTCTGGTTTCTAGGTTACCAGACCTGACAGACTTACAAACTGACACTGTGACTCAAGAGCTAAGGTCCCCTGGACCGCTCTGACAACCAACGATGACTTGACTGACCTGACCATTGCTGTCATATTGTGTTGAATATAGGTTAATTTATACATGACAAATGGCAGTTTTACTTTACTTTGAAAAGTGGAATATTTCACCTAAGAAACCTATTCCAAAAAGAATACTTTTCTGCCCAGTCATAGATAAAAACTTATTTCATTGGCATACACACAAAATTTTGACATCTGATTATATTGTGCTTCTATATTCAAATTATCATGGCAGTGTCAAAATTATCATAGCTAATCAAGTATATCATCACAAGGCACCATCTAAATCAGTTTCTACGGTCAAAACTCATTTAGAATCAAGCCCCAGGTGCTTGTCTAGAAATTGACCTCCCCTCTTATTTATATGACCTTCCAGAAAAAAAAATATATCATACGGTTCAATATCAAGTTTTTCTTGTAGGTACATTGTTTTTTTGTACAGGATGTCTCGGAAAAGTGCTTTCAGTTAAAGTTGTATTTTTTTAAAATGGATCTTCTTAAGTAGGTATATAGGGAAAATCATAGTCCCTTTTTTCTGATTCAAAATATATGTGGATCATCATACTCATTTTCATTAGTTTGGCCAAAAACTGAATGTTGTGTGTCATTTATTCATTTGTATTAGAGTTCGAACCAGTTTGCATCTTACCATCGAGAGCCCAGTCGCATATGAGTTGGACCGATGAAAAATATTTATAGAATGTTGTATTTGTGAACTAATTTTTATTTATTCAAAATAACTTCAACAAAAACAACTTAGATAATATGAAACTATGTATTGTTAACAATTAATCAACAATATCTGTTATATTTTTGAACTATACAATAATAAACAATCAAAAAAAATTGCTTATAATGTCTGGCACATATTAGTTGGACTAAACATTTTTGAAAAGTTAATACTGAGTGCATCACCTAAATCACCTTTTCGTTTTAATACAGCATCGATTCTGCTTGCCATATTGTCTACCAATGTTGTGTAATATTCTGGTTTAAAATCATCCCAAATTTCCTGAAGTTTCTGCTTTAGTTCAGGAATGGTGCGGACTGGAAAAGTTCGAAGTGCTTTTTTCATTTGGTCTCAATTGGAAATGAGTCAGGGCTACTTGAGGGCCATTTTAGAACAGAAATATGCATTTCCTGTAACCAGGATGTTATGTTCTTAGTTGTATGGCATGCTGCACCATCCTGCTGAAATAGGAATCCACCTTCTCGAAATTGAATCATGTTGATGAATGGCAGAAATTCTTCTTGTAAAATGATTTTATATTTAGCAGCATTAACGGTGCCATCAATCAAAAGAAGACGTCCCACTCCTTGTGAAGACATCCCCATACCATTACATATGCTGGAAATTTAACCTTTTTCTTGAGACAGTTGGTATGATATTCTTCTCCTCGCATGCGGATAAGTCTGCTTCGTGAATCGCCAACACATACTTTAAACTTGGATTCGTCGCTCCAGGTAACTGAATCCCATCAATGTTGTACCCAGTTTTTATGCTTTCTTGCCCATAAAAGTCGGTTTGGTTTTTATTTTTAAGAAAGAAGTCGCTTTTCCTTCGCCTAAAATGAAAATTAAATAATCTCGAGCAGTCTTTCATACTCACAACAGTCACAACTTACTTTATAGAATGAATATCCCATTTTTTCATCGTTCTTGAACAAGTATCCTTTGAAACTTTTTCACCAACCGCATGTGACCATTTTACAGCTATTTCCCTCGACGCAGTTCTGCGATCTTCTTTGATAATTGCACGAAGAGCACGCTCATCTCTGTCTGTAATATTCGAACGACGGCCATTTCTAATTTTTGTTTCAATATTTATATTGGTTTAAATAGTGAGATAATGTTTCATACTGTTCCTTCAGGAATGCTGATTTTTTCATATCGTCGGACAATGCTTTTCCGCGAACCATTTTTACAATTAAACGTTAAATTGACATCTCTAGGCCAACATTATTCTATTCAATTGTACCAATGCTCGCTTTAAAAAAAGATCCGATTTCGCCGTGTCAGCATTTTTTTATCGTATTGCATGAGATGGTCTAACTACTCTAACTAATATGCGACGGATATCATAAACAATTTTTTTGTTTTTGTCTATTATTGTAATTTAAATATATATCAAATATTATCGATTAGTTGTTAATACCACAAAGCATCAAATTATCTTGGTTGTTTTTGTACAAGTTATTTTGAATAAATAAAAATTAGTTCACAAATACAACATTCTATAAATATATTTCATTGGTCCAACTCATATGCGACAGGGTTCGTATGCAGTCTGGCATAGGAATACGAGGGATGTCTTTTAAGTTTTGCATATGGAAATAAAACATGCGCTCGGACCAACTTTCGAAGCACTTGTTCCACTCGTTTGCTGCCAGATCCAAAACGGCATTTTTGAATGCGTCAACTGTTTCTTCTGGTGACTGGAACCTTTGACCACGCAGTCTGTTTTTAATTTTCGGGAAAGTAAAGAAATCGTTAGGACTTGAATGAATGAATCTTAAAATTTAGAGGCATCCCGGCCACCATAAGGACCCAGTGCATAGGCCGCTTAAGCGGGCCCTTATGCACCTCTACAATACTTAAATCACAAGCCTCGCCCTTTTAGCGAAGTTGAGAATCGCCTTGAGTCCAAGCTCCTTGACGTCTTGAGGGTCCAAAGTAATGGACCCCAGTATAGTCTGCCTATAGTAGCTCAGAGCTTCACAGCGACACAAAACGTGCGCCGAGCTCTCTTCCTCTACTCCGCAGCGTTCGCACAAGGGATCCTCAGCCACCCCCATCACGTACAGGTGGCGCCTTAACGTGTTATGGCCAGACAACAGTCCCACCAGCAACCTTAGGTTGGCTCTACCCAGAGATAGGCAGAAGCGTCCATCCTTAGCACTGGGCCCTTCAATGAGTTCCCGTGCCTGGCGGAGATGACTGGAGATACTTCTCCATTTGAGACTGTTGTCTTGCAACCCACGTGTCCATTTTCCTCCTAGCTTTATGCGCGGTTACTCCTAGAGTTGGCTCAGGACCAACGAGCTTGCTGGCTGATCCTGTTTTCGCCAGAGTGTCCGCCGTCTCATTGCCCCTTATCCCAGGGTACCCCGGTACCCATATTAACGTTACCGGATGCCTCGCTGCGAGGCAATCCAGAGCCTCCCTGCATTGCAATACAAGACTCGAAGTAATCTTACAGGCACTTAGTGCTTTCATTGCAGCCTGGCTGTCGGATAAGATTGTTATTCTTCTCCTAGGCCCACCCTCCTCCAGAATGTGAGATACACAAGCCAGAATCGCAAAGATTTCCGCCTGGAAAATAATAGTAATAATAATAATTAACGTCTTTTATTTGTAATATTCTTACAGGAGGCGAGATTTAGATTATATATCTATTCTACCATCTAACCCCCAAATGGTGGTGTATCCACCGAGAGGCAGAGATAGCCTAGTTCTAGGCCCAGAGACCCCAGCACCTGAGTCCTCTTCAGTGACCGAGCCGTCCGTGTACCAGACCTGCCCGCTCACTTCAGAGAGTCCTCGGCTACCGGCGTCCCACTCCTCCCTCGTTGGGCACTCCACAATAAACTTGCGGTTGAAGCGATATTTAGGGATAATACGATCACCCCTGCTTAGAAGGACGGGGTCCTCCCTTTCTAATTCGACTAAGATGGCAGTATGCCCCTTGACCGGATTCAAGAAAGCCCAGCTGCCCTGACTCCACAGTCGATGAGCGACTACTCTCGCTTCACCGCGGATCACCAGATCCAACGGTGGGAGATCCAACAGAGCTTCCATTGCACTCAATGGCGTTGTTCGCACTGCGCTTGTAATGCTAATACAGGCCAAACGCTGAATTTTATTGAGTTTGGCCTCAGTTGACTCAGTTCTAATGCAAGGCCACCAGACCAGGGAGCCGTACAAGAGAGATAGACGTACTATCGTCGTGTAGAGCCAGTATACCACTTTGGGTTTAAGCCCCCACCTTACACCGACAACACGTCTACAAGCCCACATCGAATTGCGAGCCTTGCTAACCTTGTATCCAACATGCTATCTCCGTTAGGACTTAGATCGGGACTGTATGGAGGATGGTCCAATAATTCCACGTTTTCTTCCGTTAAATACTGCCTTGTTTTTTGGGCTGTGTACGAGCTTGCATTGTCTTGGTGGAGGATGTTTCTTCTTTCGGGGTTGATTTTTCGAAGCTCGGTGATGACGTTTGGCAAACAAATGGTGGTATACCAATCCGCAGTAACAGTTCTTTGCTCATTAAGAGGAATTGTTGCCATATGACCCGCTTTTGACACAAATGTCGCGACCATCTTTTTTAAAACGCTTCGAGAACGGATGACTTTTCTTCACCTTGGAACACCCAAACAGTCGACTGTCGTTTATTTTCTTGTTCATAGCAGTAAATCCACGATTCATCACCACTAACAATGCTCTACACATGTTTTGAGTTTCCGGAATTGAAACGGTCAAGCGTTTTTTGACACCAATTAACCCTGGCTGCTTTCTGATCTTCAGTCAACAGGTGGGGTATCCAACGAAAAACTAATTTTCTTACTCCTAATTCTTCATGTAAATTTTTTTGTATTGAGGTCTTTGAGATTTTCAAGGACGCCTCAATCTCGGGATATGTCACATGTCTATCTTCAATAATGAGTTTGCGCACAGCATCGGCGTTTTAACCTGGCTGACTGCCGTTTTTGGTGCACCCACCCTTTGATCGTCGCTAAGACTTACCCGTCCACGTTTGAATTCTCCATACCAACGGGAAATTGTCGACTGATGTGGCGCTTCGTTGCCGAAAACAGACAGTAACTCAGCAAGGCATTCTTGTTGCGATAATTGTCTTTGAAAGTTGTAATAAATTATGGCGCGAAAATGTTCTCTGTTGAGTTCCATTTTTCTAATGACTTGGTGACACTTAAAAATTCATTGTTGAATTTAAATTTACTAAAGAGTGAGGTTAAGATTCAGTACTGACGTTCGATCTGCGCGGCCTACTATGCTTCTATATGCAAAACTTAAAAGACATCCCTCGTATGTATGATCGAATGATACACAAACTTTAAGTTTTTGACTAAAATAATAAAAATAAGTTTATCAGATCATATATATTAGGAATCAGACAAACAAGTACTATCATTTTCACTGAAAAAATGCAGGGTGATCGATTTAACAAAATACCGGTGAAATGGGGTGAATAGAAACAGTTTCGGACCTTTCCTACTCTGTTGCTAACATGGTAGTCACCTTTTTGACAACAAAAAATAAGGAATCTACAGGTCTCGACTTGTAGATCAAAAAGCGCATAGTAGATTTTTTTTAAATAGGGGGTTTTCCAAATAAAAAATAAAAACGCTCTTTTTCTATTCACCCTTAATGTGGGGTGAATAGAAACACCCATTTAAATTGGTCAAATTTGCTATACTACCCACACGAAGGCGAATAGAAAAACCTGAAAAAATTTTTAAATTGATAAAAAAATATAAATACACAAAAAAAACTGACAAAAACACCAATTTTACAAAAAAAAAACATTTATTTCTATAGAAATGTAACAAGTTTAAACATATTATTTAAATTAAACAACTTTGATGCAAATTAAATTTTAAAATGTCTCTTCTTGACGTAGATGCTTCTATCTCGTCATGAACTGGGAAAACCTCTCCAACAACCTGGCTAAAATGAAAGGTGGAAACATCCGGAACTTCTGGAAATCCATAAATATATCCTGACGAGTGTTTGGTGGGGCGACTTCTTAAGAAAGTGGCTTCAATGTCATTTTCTGTAATATTAATGACTTGTCCGATAAAATATTTATTTCTTTGTCTATTTCGATATTTTGTTGGAAAACACACCAGAAGCCAAGTTCCTTTATCTATTAAATCAAGCGAAATAGGAGAAACACATCGAAACAATTTACCCTCAAAGCAGACTGATGCTGATGAATTATTTGTATCCAACTTATTCTCGGACTTATCGGTTAAACTTGGTAGTGAAGTGTCCATTTCTGAGTCTGCATCTGAAGAATGATCTTGATCTTTTTCCATGTCAGAGTCTTCACTTGAAGAATGATCTTGAGCTTTTGCCATTATTGGCATGAAATTAATAAGGGGCAAATTCATTTCCGGGTCTGAATCTTCATCTAAGGTTTCCATACTTCTTTCCAAATCAGTATCCTCTTGATCGTCTTTATCCAACGTGCTTTCAAAATCTGCACTTGTAACGCTTTTGCCAGCAGGAACTTGAATTTTACGACGTCGACTCTTCACATTTTGACCATCGCCATATCTCATTGTTCTTAGAAGGTTTACCAAAGAGTTATTAAGTCCTTCTTCAATGTTCTGATTCTCATCATTTGTCTCGTCAAGATTTTGCTGCGGAAGGCGTCCCAAGACTTGATCCCTATTTAGTGGAAAAATTCCACACTTTCTAAAGCCAGATTGTATATTTTTTCCAGCATTAGGCTCAATAGCCTTTGACAAGTCATTTAGCAAGAAAGGGAATCTGTCCTTTGGAACCGTGCAATGCTTTGAACCAGCCCCCATTTTCCATTTTTCAAGGATCTGTCGCCAGGCTGTTTTAAGAGGCCGGAAAAATGCCACGTCCAGAGGCTGGGTCAGATGAGTAGAGTTAGCCGGGAGGAATATAAATGAAATATTATTTTCTTCGCAAAGAGATACCGTACTTGCAGAAAAATGTGAACTCAGATTATCGCCAATTAAGTACTTCTTTCCCGGTAGATTTTTTACTGCAGGTATGACAGTGCTCTCTACCCAATCTGAGAAGGAAATCGCATCAAACCAACCTGATGGACTTCTATTAAATCTGACGTCCTTTGGTCCTCCAACTGTCCAAGATGTATACAAATTTTTAGCTTTGTAAACCACGTATGGTGGGAAAAATTTTCCATCAGCTGAAGCAGCGTACATAATAGAAACGGCTGACTTCGACGTATTGCAAATACGTTCTGGATAGCGACAGCCCCTTTTCGAGATTACTTTCTTTCTACCCGGATCGTCAGTTAAATTTGTTTCGTCGTAATTTACTATGTTTGATGGCGGTACATTTTTCAACTCCGTGGCTAAATTGTCAAAATAAGCATTGATAGTATTGGGAGAAACAGCAGCTCTTGAGCGCTTGATGTTTTGGCAGATTCTAGATCTTAATTCATTTTTGTGACGTTTTAAAAAAGAATAGACAAAGTCTCTGCCAGGGATATTATCTTTAAATCTCGTTATTGTTTTACCTCTACTGTCTAGGTAATTTTTTATCATCATCCTGACGTCCAAATGGTCAAGTGGATACCCCCAATCGGAACAAACTATTAGTTGATGGACTAAAATATCTTCTTCTTGTTTGGTTAGGGCTGTTTGTCCTCCATGAAGCTTCAGATTTCGGTTTTTGTGGTGCCGATAAAGCACAGAATAATGAATGTTGTATGTTTCGTGAGCCACTCTATAACTCATCCCGTTGTCAATTGAAGCAAGGGCTATTTTTAGAGTTTTTTCATCAATTTTCTTATATGTTTTACCTCGAGGGTCTGGTTTATAAACGCGAGGCATTTTCCTGCAAAAGAAAAAACAGTTATGGGGTGGATAGAAACAGCGGGTGAATAGAAACAGCGTGTTTCTATTCACCCCAAAATTACTTAATAGTGTGGTTATGTATTATATTACATCATAGCAAAAAAAATAAGCAAGACAAGCAATTTCTGAAATAGGCAATGTGAACCAGACACCTTAAAGCTACTTTAACCAAAAACTCAATGTCTTACCTGTTTTTAGCTAACCACTGTGAATAAAGTTTTGCTAGTGATGAAAAAGGCTCATGTGTTCACTCCGACGGGTGGTTGCTACTGCAATCAGGGCTGCCAGCATAAAACATCTTTGGCCTGTTAAAGCAGTTATGGCGACATCTGTTGACCGTTTGAGAACAAATTTGAAGCGTTGAGAGGTTTAATTCCAATGTTGATTTTTTTTAAAAGAAGTTTCCCGTTTTTGTTGCTATTCACCCAGCAGTTTCTATTCACCCCATTTCAGGTACAACTTTATTCAATACCACTTTTGTGGGTATACAAAAAAGTATGTTAGACTCTATCACTTTTTTTTATACAACTTTTTCTTCTAAAAGGTCATATAAAAAAGTTTAAGGGGGGGTCAATTTATAGCTGGACACTGTGTACCATTGTATCTCAGGTAGGTGCATCATTGAATTGTAGCAAATGTATCAGCATGGTTCCTGTGGTTCATTATGGATTAATTTAAACATAGTAGGTGATAACCTGGGTAAAGCTACTATTACCACTTTACATTACTGCCCTAGGACATAACAGATCCCGTGTGCTAAAAAGTGGGACAACGCCCAGAAAACCTGTTCATAAAGTATACTTTACCATTAGGTCGTGGATAAAACATAGTAGTTTGATTTATGGTAATTTTGAATCTAGGAGAGGTAGTCCCAGAAGAGTCAGATGGGCCTGATGATTGCTTTAGCGAGCCCGAGCAACAGCCTCATCATATCCTGAGGGAGAAGTTGCAACAGAATAGTGCAAAGAGATGCCCTCAGAGGGCAGCAGCAAGACATGGCAACTGCAGTGACACCCATTCCTCCAGCACAGACTCTGAAGGCGCAATTGCTGCTTGCAGGACCATTTCTGAGGAGTATGCTTTTAAACCAGTTAGAAACAGGTAGGTAACATTTTTGGAGCTGTTCAAAGACTCTATTTAAACTAAGACATACCATGGCGATTCTTCCAGTTCATTGTAGAGTATTGTCGCATCGAATATTGTGATTTCTATTTGCTATCATGCAGATGGCTCAAGTTAATTTCAAACTATAACACTGATTTGTTAGATCTTTACAAGAGCACCACTGGTTTTTCTTTCATTAATTGGATAGTTTCATTCCATCAAACACAATACATTTTTAATGATCCAACGAGTACTCGGTTTGTACCCGGTACTGGGTGCATTTTAGGCTGGTTTTGTCGAGTATTAAATTACTCGGTCTGAACCCAAAAAACAAACGTGTAAATCTAGGAATTGCAGTTTTGTGTGCAGTCTGATTTACAGTATTTGCTTAGCTTATTTTTTATATACAATGTGTTACTATTACATGTGTTTCATAAAAAGTACGGTAAGTCTATGAAGCAGCTTCTATAACAGTTTAATCTGAAACCACATTATAGTTATATTGCCTTTTTGCATCCTATATTTGCTCTTTTAGCATATGAACTTTCAAAACAAACAAACAAAAAATGCAAAACAAAATAAACAAAGTTCATAATGAACATCCAAAAAACAATAAAAAAACGCAAAACACAGTAAACAAAATGCAGCAAATGTTGAAAATTTACGTGACTAATGATTACCCCCATTCCTGCAAAATACCTTTAATCACATGTAAGGACATTATAGGTTTCGTCCTTCCCAAATCTGAATTGGTCCCGCATGACATCCATCAGTTTCAATTTGTGTTAATTTGTTTTTTTTTTGTAATCTCCTCCGAAGGCAGCTCAGAAACCTGAAGTATACATTGAAAACCATGTCTAAGCCAGACACTAATTTTTGTGGTGCATTTTCTTGGAATTGTTTTGGAATAGAAGGACATTTCCAAAAAAATATAATCTGAGCATTACTTTCACCAGCTGGAAGGCAAATAAGGGCAGGGCAAATACCTCAACCGAATACGCGCTACTCGGCTTTTTGAAAAAAGTTCTACTCGGTGAATCCCTACCCTCTAATCTTGTTTTCTATTGACCATTTTTCATTTTTTGTCGAAAAATAATCTGGACACGCAAAAATCTCAAACTGCTCGATTAATAATTCAAAAATTAATAGTACCCTTTGGACGGACTGATTCAAATCTAACATCAGTTGAGTGGTTCTACGTAACACTAGTCGTTTACAAACTTTCGTTAAAATAAGCCTAGACATTTTCGAAATATTTAATGAAAAACATTTTGGAACGATTGTATTCTGAAAACGAAACGTTTGCGGCAGATTTTACGAAGTTTTTTGTTACAATAATTTCTTGGTGTTGATTCACTACAGTGTCTACACAGGTCTGCAACAATTAATTATAGAGTAGTAAAGAATAAATAAACAAATAAGTTAATAAAAATACAGTAGAATAGAACAATACCTAAAATTACACAAAACTGATAAGTAAAAATGAAATAGCTCTGTAAAATGACATAATTATATAATTTATAGTTTTATAGGAGTTAAAAGTGGCGTCAAGTAGGTTGACTGTGCGATTCCCACGCAACGTTGTCATCAGTTCATAAACGATTATGTTCGGCGCAAGGTAGTCCCTCTTAACTAGCTACATACATACATAACAAAAAAAAATGGATTAAGTCAGCCAAACAGGCTCTTGCAATTAGTCGATACTCCATAGTCCCCACCCATTTATTAACGCTAACGCTAGTTTCTTCTCTGGTCGAAGTATCGACCATCTGGCAACGGTGCTGAACCACTCCACTATAGAAAATAGTAACTCGAGAAAACCAGCGATGAATTCAGAGTCAATCAGACGCAGACACAGCGTATTAAGGTTGCGGCGCCCGACCGCGATCGCGTAACTATAAACATTTCTCTAAGGGCGGTATCGTCAGTCGTTCCTACAATTGTAGGCCGCCTTTATGGCCTCCTTGATTTTCATAGTATCTCCAGTACTTCAAAAAGGCGATCTATTTTGAGGTTATGTTTCAAATATCTATTTGCATCAAATTGTTCATGCCATAAAGGCGTCCTACAATTGTAGGAACGACTGACGATAATATCTACTAATAGGTACGTAGAGTTACCCAGATATTACTGAAACTTTTTTCCAAATATTTGCCGATTTCTTAGTGAGAGTACAGTAAATTGACTCCATTTCAACAACCAAAACCAGTTTATGAACTTTTTTATCCCTAACTAACCCTTACCAGGTGTTCTTTAAAAAGGACGGTAGTAAAATGACCTGATAGCACAAATTTTATTTCAAGGACACATATTGCAAGACATAAAACAAATAACTATTCAGTGTGATAATGTTCGAAACACATTTTAAGATGTAGTGGAATACTACATTTTCTGCAGTGAAACTGAACTTTTTTATGGCATTCGCCACAACATTGCAGGTTCCCTTGATAAACTACAAGGTGATTGAGCCCATCATATCTAGAATAAGCACTCTTACATGATCACTATTTGTAGAAACACACTGTCTAAATGTCAATATATGGCTCAAGCGATACACATGGGACTACACTGTAGTAATTTGTGGTAGTTCTAATGTTCTTTGACAGAGCACGGTGGTGATACCTTCTGTCAAATTACTGAAACTCCTTACAGAATCCTTGAATCGAAATGCCTTTATAACGGACGGTAGTAGTATCTGGGTTAATGGGGTTTGAAGTGTAAAATATGCTGCTGCCTGAAAAATTATATATATATACAGTAATGGACAAAAGTATATAGACAAATATGAATATTTACCTAAATACCTTTATAAAACGAATTCATACTTCATTGCTCCATAAACAAATGCGTTATTAGTAAAAAAACTAAATTCCTTGTTTTCACATTATCTGCAATGAACACAATACAAGTCTGAATATAAGAACTTTTTTATGAGGGACGAAAATATGTAGACAAATTCTTTTCAACATTAGTTTTTTAGTACAGTTTCGTGTCAGAAGAGAATTAGTTTGTGTTCATCAAGTATTGTGGAATAAGTGAGTGTTTTTGAGACCATGCCGCGTAGTCCAGAAATTTCTTTCGATGTGAAAACTAAGATCTTTGAATTATACAAAGATGGTCAACTTCAGGTCGACATTGCCAAAAATTTGAAGCTGAAGCGTAAAGCAGTTTGGGCAATATTGAACAAATATAAACAAAGAGGTATCTTGGAAGCCTCTAAGATAAGTGGTCGGCCTATAAAACTAAATGCTAGATCAGTTAGATTAATAAAAGTAATTTCGTCCAAAGATCCGTTTAAAACCCCAAGAGAATACAAGCCGAAATCGAGTCAAAAGGAATTATCAGTGTTTCTACGAAAACTAGTTATTTGCACGTCGCCCGAGTAAGAAGCCGCTAATCTCGAGGAAAAACCATAAGGACCGATTACAATTTGCACGGTTGCATCTTGATTGGAGCATAAGTGACTGAAAGAGGGTGTGTTTCAGTGACGAATCCAAGTTCAATATGTTTGGATCAGATGGTGTTGATTACGTTAGACGTCCTAGTGGACAAAGATTGAACCCCAAGTACACTTTGCCCACTGTACTGTAAAACATGAAGGCGGGCCTGTTATGGTTTTTGGGTGCTTTTCGGGGTTTACATAGACCTTTACATAGAAGAGATGATTATGGATAAGCTTGTATACATAGACATAGACATACTAGCATGTCATGTTACCCTATATGGAAGACAATATGCCCTTAAGATTAATCTTCCAGCAAGATGATGACCCGAAGCACACTTCAAATCTCGCAAAGAAATTCTTTCTGGATGAAAAAATACCAGTTCTCAAATCGCCTTTACAGTCTCCCGATATAAACCCCATTGAAAATCTATGGGAATGCTTAGATAAGCAAATACGAGATAAAAATTATTCAAACAAGGATGAACTTTTTGCTGCTTTAGAGCAAAAGTGGAGACAGATTGATGGATCTTATATCAAGAAACTTCTACAATCTATGCCGAGACGATGCCAGGTGGTGATTGATAATAATGGTTAGGCTACAAAATATTAACACAAACACGGTTGGTTTTCTATAATTCATTGAACTTTGCTTCTTTTTTCTATAATTGTTTTGCTTTGTCTATATATTTTTGTCCTTCATAGTTACAGTTTTTTTCAATTAGTTTTTTATTGAAGGGAGTCTATAGAATTTATGTATAAGTGAATATTATGCTATAACGAATTATGTATACAGGTTGGTGTATTAATAAAACAAGTTAAAAAAGAAATACAGCACAATATTAATTTGTCTATATACTTTTGTCCATTACTGTATATATCCTCCCTTACAATCCCAGATTATAAAGAAATTTTCTGAAAATGATCAGGAGCCTATGAAACATCAAAAAACCAAGTTTGAGCAGCTTTTTATTTTTTTCGCGTTTTTATCCCTTGTTTTGTCACCACTGGACCAGTTTCAAACACTGTAAAGAATATAGTAGTAGCACTGTAAAAGTTTCATCAAAATCCCAGCGGCTCTTCTCAAGTTATAGGCGGTTATAAGATTAGCGGACATGCCAACAGGCCGACGGACGTGTTTTTTCGTGAAAAAACATCTTATTTTCGAACATTTTCGCGCTTACAATACTTCCCTGCCAGTAGACGTGGGAAGTGAAAAATAGATGGATGGTTAAAACCATATAGCAGACCGAAATAGATTGGCAACATTACACGAGAAAGAAATCAGATAGTAAATTTACATTTCAGGAATATAAAAGGCATAAGCAACTTCAATCTTCGGTATCACATGATTCTCCATTGTATTTAAAATAATGCTCCAAAATGGCAGCCAGCCAAAATCTTGAAGCTTTCAACTGTCATCAATTTCATCACCCCAAATTTCAGCCTGCCAGCTTGGCCCGTTCAAAAATAAGTGGGGGATGGGAGGACCTTTTTGAAAAGAACTGTATAAATCACCCCTAGAATGATTTCGCTGAATTTGGACACATTTCTTATATTGGAGGGAGGTGTGCAAACAACAATATAAGGGTTGATTTACAGGCTCCGCCCTTGACATCTTTGCGTTAAAGCCACGTTTATTTCATATTTTTTTATTTTTCTCCTTAATTCCCCACTAACGTCAGTGCACTTGTTCGATCGCTACTCCTCTACGATCACCGGTTAATTTGTTGTTTTTTACGTCGTTAAATATTTTTTTAATTTTGGTAATGATATGGAATCGCTGGGGGCCAAGTCTGGCGAATGCGGTGAGTTATGTACCAATTCAAATCATAGTCGGTAAACGGCAGCTATAGCAAGACAGAATTCATGGTCGGGAACCTTATCCTAACGAAACAGTACGCTACTTGTTGAGGTTCTCCAACATTTATGTTTAAGAGCGTCTCGCAATTTTGAGATTAAGTATGTGTAATGGGTCCCTAAAAAAATTACACTTTTGCAATGTAACACCATCTCATGCACTTTTTTAATGTTTTTGGTCAGTTGCTACAGTTACAGGTGGGCTATCTAAACTTAGCCGGCTGAGGTTACTTGATTTACTGTATAGAACATTCATCAAACAAGCACCTGTGAAGAGGCCAGGAATCAACCTTCGTAGAACTGGAAAATGACCAGAAAGAATCCGAAATTTTAATATTTGCCTCAAATTCTCTTTGACAAAGTGCGACACTGATATCTTGTATGCACAATAACTCCAGACACTAAGGGCCGTATCGTCAGGCGTTCCTATAATTGTAGGCCTCCTTGATGTCCATAGTTTTGTACTGTTCCATGTCAGCGCTCTATTATGAGGTTATGTTACAAGTTTCTATTTGCATCAAATTGTTCATGCTTTTGATTTATATCGTCTGATTTATCAGCCTCAAATGTCCTGCAATTCAAAAAGGAAAAACTTAGAAAACATAACTTCACAATAGGAGATCGCTGACGCTGATACGGAACGGTAGAAACAATTGTAGGACGTCTCTATGGCCTCTTTGATTTTCATCGTCTTTTCTCTCCTTCAGAAAGGCTGGGGTATTTCTAGATTTCTACTGTTCCGTGTCAGCGTCAGCGCTTTCCTACTGTGAGGCTATGTTTTCTTTTTGAATTGTAGAAAACTTCAGGCTGATATATAACAGATGATATAAATCAAAATCATGAACGATTTGATGCAAATAGATATTGTAACATAACCTCAAATAGAGCTGACATAAAACTATGAAAATCAAGGAAGCCATAAAAGCGTCCTACACGAAATTGTAGGAAAGACTGACGATACGACCTTTACTCTAATATGTGCTCACTTCCATACTGGAAACGCGTAATAATCTATACTTTCTACATCATGTATCTCAAGGCAGACAATAAATTCACCGTTATTTCTCTTATTTCTATTGGTCTTGTACTATACTGCCTATTCTCCTTAGATTTTTGTTGAAGGTGACTCATGATTACAGGAATGAGTCTGAATGCAGCGAGAGTGAAAGGCACTTTCATGGGAGCAGTTCTGAAAGTTTGGAACCGCATGGCGCGAAAAGCAAGAAGACAAAGTCTTCCAAAGACAAGTTTGGTAGTGAAAGAATTATGTTGGTTACTGCCAAACACACCCCTATGATGGTGTGTTCATATGTCCCTCAAAAGAAATGCAACAGGTAATTTTTTGATTTGGAATTCTTATATTCAGTCAGTTCAAAAAACAATGGCAATATTTCTTGGGCTGAAAGTACGTCCAAAAAAAATAAGAAGTTCTTATACAATCATTCTTAATGACAAAGGTAACTTAAAAGAAAACAAAATTAGATATTTGGATATCAAGTAAATGAATTGTAGAACTCACATATGGAATAACATGGATTACAAATAAGTTTTTAAGTTCACGGCGAAAGGGCGAAATATCTTTATTTTTTTTATTCTTTTGATATTATTAGGGAGGCACATGTACATTTTCAGATCATTACAAATACTCGTATATCTGATTTAATCTTTCACAAGTGTTAATTTAGGCACTACTAATTTAAGATTAAATTTGACTTTATTTTAATAAATAAGAGTTGCTGTTTCAAAAATAAATAATAATGCGACAGTTATTATTTTAAGATTTAAGAATAAAGGCCTGCATGTTGCTCTAGGATTAACATTAGTTACATATCTAATAGATCGTTTTTGTAGAATAAGCAACATTTTTTAGATAATTCTGGGAACAGACCAACCAAAAGGGATGCCATATATCAGTCTACAAGTGAGGCAAAGTAACTGCTTAGAGTGTTTTTCCCTATTGTAACTAGCTGTTCTGATAATAAAAGAAATATTTGCTTGTAAGCAATTGGTCCACATGATTAGTAAAATTTAATTTATGATCAATGGTCAGTCTCAAAAATTTGATGGTGTTTATTTTGTATATCAAATCATTATTTAAATTTATAGAATCAAGAGAGCATTTAAATCTTTAAATTTGGTCTTACTAAAATTAAAAGTTCAGAAATATTGTTATCACACCAATTTTTGATTGATTATATTGTCAATTTTTGACCTAATTTCATCTGTATCTGTGTCTTGCCAAATTTATGCGGTATTGAAGAATGAAGGCTTTCACGGCTAGTTCTAATCTCATTTAGGTTTTTTAGGCTGTTAAACCGCGGTCGGACTGGGTTGGGTTGCGGTTTCCTCACACCCATCCAGTCGCCCGATCAGTTTTAGTTGTCCCGCCAAGCCGAGCACTTCGCTCTCGACGACAGCGCAACTGAAGATGGCTACCGCAGATGCAGCTGAAAGCTCCAGAGAAAATCCAACCCGACCCCGGCTCAACAGCCCGAAAAACCTAAATGAGGTTTTGTGGTATTCTCAGCAAAAACTATGAATTTACCATTTATGTTTAAATTTATTAAATAGTTAAACTGCAAATACTCGTACGAACGAACCTAGTACTGATCATTGAGGTACCCTTGTTTTTATGTTTAATTTATTGATACTCTTATAATTTGGGATCGATTATTGGTTATTAAGACGCATATCCTATAATGATCGGTTACTAAGATACAGAGTGATACTTAAAATCATTATTATGGTTCAAAAAGCGCTATAGTGAGACGCTAAAACTTTCCTAAGATACTGCATCCTATTTTCACTGTCAAACTTCACTAACTGTAGTGTATTTTCAAAGTATAATCCATTTAAGGTTTTTTTAATAAATTTTAGCTCAAATATTGAAACAAATTTCTCTCCGATCGTCTGAAAATATGTTCGGTACTGGAGTGGTCTGAGCCATATTGGTTATGGTATTAGTATATGTATGTACAAAATTTCAAGTCAAAACTTTGATCGGCTCTCAATATTTTTTTCAATGTTAACCCATGTTAATATAGACTTTTGATACTTCTGCTATCAGCCCTGAAAATAGTGGTACTGTTTTTAGAATCACCCTGTTTAATAATATACAAACCTGTGCCGTCCATTCATGATTTAGCATCCAATTGATTTTTGTACTTGATTTGTAGTGCTAAACGAAGAAATTCTTAGTTCCAAGAAGTCTAAACACACACTACATTTCTTGGTGATTCTGTATTTGCCATTCAACAAATATTTGAGGTTGAGGGATTATCTATATAGCTGATAATGCTTGATGTGTAGGTGTTTTCTTAGGAAAGTTCTTATTTTTTGTAGGTCTGAATCAAAACGCGAAACTCATAGGAAAAGAAATACTTCTCTTGGAGACGGTTTGGATCCATTTGATTCTCTAGGAATTGAAAGAGTCAAAGATGGACAGGTAAGATCGAGTTTCACTGCTACGTTAACATTACCTAGCTGCTAATGTAATAAAAACTTGGGTGAATTTTTTACTCATTTATACTGTTACTAAGATCCGTTCAAGGGCAAGATAGGGTAGATAAAAACATCGTCGTGTATTATGCCATTTATTTGACGTATATCCTAAAAAGAAGAAGATAAGATTCACATTTCACATCCTCAGACTAATATAGTAGTTTGATAGAAAAACAATATTTTAGCTGGCACATGATTTTTGCTTCTTTGATTAATAATGTAATTTAAGAGTGAAGTAATAACCCGTGAAACACATTCCGAACTCCAAGGCCTTTTGACGCTTTGATCGGTATTTTCGTCACCCGCATAGAACCTTTTTGTCGTAAAGTCCCAATGAATCTCAATTTCCTCCCCATTTAGTATCGAAATATTAGAATTTTCACTTCGACAACTAACTTTGTTATTAACGGCAGCCATGTTAACATGTAAACCATAATAAAATAATAATATCTTAATTTCCATAAGACGAGTTGGAATTGCCATCATGAGCTAACAATGGTACATTCACATTTAAAAACAAAATATAATAGAACAAAACCAATAAGTATCACGTACTAAAAAAATCATTTCAGGATTATAAAGGATTATTTATAAGAAATTTTCTTACCTTCCTCTTAAGAAGTGCTGTGGATTAGATGGTTTTTATATGGTCTGGCAACTTGTTATATAATCTAGGTAACATAATTTTGGGACTTTTTGAAGTCAGCGACAGTCTGTGAGCTGTAGTAGTTAGCTGGTATGATAGTCTCACGTGCTGGGAAGTAGCAGATCCTCTTTCTGGGTTATACTTTCCAAAATCTTCTATAACATACAAAATAAGTTATAAAAACATGCAATGAGTGTTCAGTCATTACTCTTAACTTTTTGAACAAATCCACACAGGATGTACGTCTATTCTCAAATGAAATTGTTCTAATTATCTTCTTTTAAGAACAAATACCTCCTTCACTCTACAACTGTTGCCCCAACAGATGGTTCCATAGTTAAGATCATAGTGTACATATGGAAAATAATATGTTTAAAGCATTGCCACTCAAGCAGTCATAGTTTGGTCTATTCAAGCGAGATTGCGATTCGAGCGGTAAAGGCGACTTTCTGGTTTTGGGCGATAGTGACCGCATAAAAATCGTTTTTAGTTTCAAAGAGGAAGTAAACACATCAAATAAATAGTTACAAAATGGGTCCTCTGACACAATGTGCTAAAAAATTGCTGTCATTAGAAAATAATATTTCCTTTAAATTATTTAATAATAAGAAAAATAGTGGTACATGATATAAACCAAGAAAGATCGACGAATGGAGAGTACAATACGTTATTTCCAGAATTAAAAGAACTTCCTAATCGATTTTATGAATATTGCAGAATGTCAGAAAATACCTTTAATATTATTTTAGCAGCAGTAAGTGACAAGATAAAGAAAACGTGTCAATCTGTTATTTTGATCCGGTCCTTGTGAAATTAATTTTTTGGATTCCAAATAGGTTCCCTTTTATATACATAAGGCAATTAAGTATTCTACTATCACTTTCAGAAAACCCTTGCGTCGAAAACGTGTTTACCGAAGGGCGATAAAAAAACAAACTGATTTGCGATTTATGCTGGTCTCGCGGGTCTAGCGACACACGCTGAAGCCGCGCGACATCTTGTGTGGCTGCTCGCATTTAACTTCATTGACTTGTTCTAACCTGCTCGAATCGCGATCTCGCCAGAATCGCAGAAATCGCTTTCTTTGCGGCCGTACACTTATGCGTGTTGAATAGGCCCAGATCTGTTTTGCTGCTATTTCGGGCAAGATCATTTGCACAACAGTAAGATAACAATTTACTGCAAACTTCAGAGGCTGATTGGCTTAAATTTGACATGCTAGATTTTAGTGTGTAATCTGCAAATAACGTGATCTTCACATTGCAATAATTCAGAACGTGTCGTTAAAATATAGAATCAATAAAGCAGGGCCAAAAGTACTCCCCTGAGGTACCCCTGTTAAAAGGTTGATTGGAGTTAAAACAAGAGATCCAGACTCAGTGTTGATCCAAACAGATCCAAGTACATCTCAAGCCAACGGAAAGCACATTCATAAATACCGCAATTGAAAAGTTTATCTAACAAAATGCCATGATGAGCTGTATCAATAAATGTATGAATTATGAAATTAGAGGCATACTGGCCACTGAGAGGGGCCGGCGCATAGGCCACTTAGACGGGCCTTATGCACCTCTACATTCCCTAGACCTCACGCCTCGCCCTTCTGGCGAAGTTGAATGTGAGTCCCAGCTTCTTGACGTTCTGGGGGTCCAAAGAGATGGACCCCAGTATAGTCTGGCTGTAGTAGCTCAGAGCCTCACAACCACAAAGAACGTGTGTCTGAATGTATATGTCAGAAATATTATGAAACTATAATTATTTTAAAAGACAGTATTCTGTAAGTAGGCCTTGAAATTATGATTCAACCATAAAGGCTGGCATAGGCACTCACATTCTTAAATTGTCATGCTAGACGTAGTGTGTCTGGTACCAAATCATCCGTTTTCGTTGTCGCGTTCCGTCAATTGCTTGGCATGAGTAAAAGCAGGCACCGGTTGATTTTTGCGCGTGTAATTGCCTGCTTGAGGAAAAGACTGTGTCTGTAGATAACATAACGTACGATTTGGATGAGTGCAACCTTAAGATCATCATCCAAGTATTCCTTCAATTTTTATTAACTTGACATAGGTAAACAGTTCCTATTTCTGATTTTAATGATGTGTATAACAATATGGATTGGTATTATAACACTTCAAATGTAATTTTCGAATGAAGAACAACGTAGTATTTTTTCATTTTATTTAAAAGTCATATTGAATTGAAAATGGTGTAATTCAAAAAAAAAAGTAGATACCCTTAAGATCAAGTAAAAGCGTCGTCCATGTTGCACACCGCCAAACATATTCCCGATATATCTAAAACCGATGCACCCATCTTGTGGTTAAATAATATTAATCTACAGCTGAAGAGTCATCTAGGAATAAACAAGTGGCAAGCTATCATTATCTAGGCTATTACGAGTATATTAGTTTTTTTAAATAACTGAAATTTTGGCATCCATAAGCAAAAATGTAGAGGAGGAAAAGCGCAATTTTAATGTGAACACTATTTTGCATTCATACTTAAAATCAGTAAAAAATAAAATAGTTTTGGGTAAGTTTATTTTTTCTGAATAGTTTCCAATGGTCAGTGTCGAATGTAAAACACCTGGAATAATGCCTAAAGAGGTGGATTGATATGGAGTCAGATTTCAAACACATATTAATACCGAGAATTCTGTAGGAAACTTCTTATGGTTATCTCCTGACACCCTCAAAGACTGTGAAAGATGTACCTAAAAGAAGCACAATCGATGACCCAACAGATGAGAATAGAAGCGCAAATCAACGTCATATGGTCGCTAGGTATGTAAATATCCACCCTGAAATAGAGTAAAATAATAACTTTCATGTTTGTCCATCAAACACTTGTTGTTCAAGAAAACCTGTGCAACGAAAATCTGAGGCTACAAATACACCAACCCTATAAACACCACACAATTATACCACTTGCAAAACCGTTTCTTGTCACCTTTGTTGCACTATGTTGGTTTCACTTTATCATTCTGAAATTACTTACCACCCAATCTATTTGAATGCTAAATTACAATGTAACTTCAACTAATTCATGTTGAATGTATATCTATTAAAATCCCAACATAGAACCTCTTTATTTCTTGTATCTTTGAACAACTATTACAACCAAGTTATGCTGGAACTTCTAGAACTAGGCTACAGAGCAAACCACATATGCCTCTACTCATGAAAATTCACATATAATTTGTGATTTGTCATATAACTATGAAAAAAATAACTAAAATTGAATTGTATCACGATAACAATAGTTCATCTCGTATTTTGACTGGAGAAGTAAAATGTACTTGCAGCAAGAGTCTTATATGCAACACACGTTTTTTGATAAAAATTTCAAAATTCTTGGCTGAAATTGTGCGTTCTCTGCCGTTCCAGCTTTCACTTTTGTTTGAATCACTTTAACCTTTTCTAGTGAAGATATTACTTCATGTACTGAGGCATATTTTTGCACTGTAGCTAATTCTTTCTCATTCAATGTTGTATGCTGTAAATATGTATAGCTCGTAAATTTTTAACCCAAAGATCTATTAAATTGGCTTGCCTTCGCTTATTTATTTTAATTTTGCAGGACGAAAGTTTTATCTTGGCAACCAGAATACAAATGGTAATATACAAAAAATGCCTTATATATGCACCTAAAGCTTCATTTCGTTTATCTAATTGGATATAACCTAGCAAAGTCGCTTGATAATTAGTAATGAATTCATGTTCCCTATGCTTATTTTTAGTCCTCCTCAATGCATGAAATTCTCCTAATGCATGTTGTCAGACGGGCATGAAATAAAAATGAGGAACATGAAAATAAGCTTATGTTAGATCATCAACGCATGTGTATTTTTTAACATTCTAGTTTTTATTAATATAAAATGTGTATTTTGGAAAATTTCGCTTATTTATAGTGGAATAATGGAGCATACTGTACCCAACATAAAAATGGCTTATTACTTTTTGTAACGCTATCAATGTGTTGATATTTGCTTTTTTCATTAACCACTATTTTACGTTCACTAAACCACGAGAAGCAGGTGCTAAAATAATTTTATCTACCACTGGGCGATAAGGCATACTCAAGTCCTACTTCTCACAGCCTATGGACGCCTTAATACCCTAAGGCAGTAAAGTTAGTTTAGGTACCGCTATGTATAAATTAAGTTGAACACAATATTACGACCACGGAAACGATCCTTATTTATTCATTGCTAGACGACGGAGAACCGTCGGTGATAAATAGTGCGATAAGTTTATATTTATTTTTAATTCTACCTAAAAGTTACTATAAGCGTGTTGCTTGGCCCATTAAAGTTCGTGGCGCTTCACGAACTTCTTTATTCAAATATGAAACGGAGTACGGATGCAGAGTGATAACATGTCGCTACTATGGGTTACGACTATATGCTTTATCCTACCGTCTAACTCATGTTTCGCAGTTATGATTTAGACGAGTAGCAGTAATCTTCAATCGCCCATTCGACGTACACGATCTGCACGGGATGTCCAATTTAGGGCAGTACCTTTTTTGTTTGTTTGGCTGTGCGAGGATAAACACTTTGGAGCCTCTTAAAAACCAATGTCGGTCACAATCAGATACTTCGTTCGACTAACCAACCGTGTACGGCGCCGTTGCAGGCTTATTGGCAATCATTAGTATGGTCTAGGCGGAACAATGAACGGAAACAGAAGAAAATAACATCTATCCTAGGTACCCAGGAACCAGTTTCATCTAGCAGTCTTAGTAACTTGGATGTTAAAGAGAACTGAGATACCTTTGCACTTCCGACCTACAGCTGCTCCTCACTGTTTTCAGTGGCCTATGAATCTGGTAAATTGCATTCGTGCTGCCAAGTAACTTTGAATTAAAATCATATGGGCGCGCGCGTGGGTTGAGTACTGACGTGCGTCGTGCCTTCTCACTTTTGATCTGATCTAGATACACGAACGGATTAGGTGTGGTTTAAGTTTGATGGATTTTGCGGAGCCTAATTCCTTGGTTATCCTAAAACTTCGGTGTATATGCTAGTAGGACAAAACTCTTATTTTTCGAGATATATGCGCCTTGCAAAGTCCCAACAAATCCACCGTTGCGTCATTCCTCCACAGGTGATGTTCACGACGTGTTTGCTACCTGAACTAAGTGTAATCCACTGATTAGTTTAAATTTACAAAATCCATACCGAATCTAAAAATTACTTTGTTCAGGTGTTTCTCGTACGACCACAACGCGCACAGAGGCACCGCTCACGTGGTAACGACACCAGCGATATCTCATCAGCAACAAGCGCAACTACCGCAGTCTGACGAAACAACTGAGGCTGAAGTTGACGGCGAAGGTGGCGAAACCACTTACGTTTACCATCCTGAGTTGCTTGATGATCCGGAGTTGATTGCGGGGAAACACAGGACTTTGCTGACGTTTACATCGTATATGACATCGGTTATCGATTATGTGAAGCCGTCCGATTTGAAGAAGGAGATCAATGATAAGTTCAGGTACGTATAGATATTTGCATGGGTGGTAGCTGTGTATATTAACTAAAGTTGAGTGAGTATATTAGTTATTTTCATGGTTTTTGGCAGGTCACAGTTAAGCTGCTAGTATATCACTTTCTTAGCTTCATCTTCTCATACATACACGTCATTTAATTTTGAGTGTGGACGTTTGACTATATAAGCTCAAAGACATATTTTTTTAGTTTTGACCCACCGCCTCGAAATTTTTGAAGTATTCTGCTATTATGCTTGACACTGTCAATGTGACAACTATCTTGTCATCGGCGTACGGTTTGAGTTTACCTCTTGTTGATTTTCATTGTAAACTGTAGTAATACCTTGAAATACAGTTAGTGGACAATGTCGATAGTTTCTATTAAAATTGGAGTATTATAAAAAGTTAATGTGCATATGTGCAAGGACGAGTAGCAGCCGTGTCGAAGATCTGCCTTAGGAAAAATAAGCACCTATGACACGATTAGTCAATTTGTTTACTCATTCCATATGCCATCAATGCCGTAACCGCCAAAAACGGCGAAGAATTAGAATGAGAACACCGGCATTTTGCTTCTGAAGCTGATTATTTGATAGAAAATTTAATGATATGCAGAATGTGCAAACATTAGTTTAATGTTTTTGTTGTGAACATGCGTTTCAACCATAGCCTAGGTCTCATAAACACAACTTGGCAAACCAATAGTGAAGATCGAACTATGAACTAACCTGGCTCTCCTTTGTCACAGATGCCGTTACTGGTATCTGACGCCGAAATTGTTATCTCTAAAAATCAGAACTATTGAATACCAACAGGCAAATTCACTTGTTGCGATCTTTAGTTGTTGGTACCATACACATATTATTTTATCGAAAATGGATGCATCTATAAACGTCAAAAGCTATTAGAAAAGGCCTCGAAAAGTAATAGAATCGATCTACTCCCTCAGGGGAGGACTGGCGCACGGCTAGGTAGATTGTCACCTTCGAAAGGACGGTATGGGCAGTAGATTCGTTTGCTCCATACAAAAGTCCAGGTCTGGACGGCGTATTTCCGGCCATGTTACAGCAGGGACGGAGTTCGGTTGTTCCTCACCTGTTGAATGTGTTTCGACCATGTGTAGCCACGGGCTTCACACCTAGAAGCTGGCGACAGGCTAAAGTGGTATTCATTCCTAAACCGGGTAGAGTTAGACATACTGGCCAGAAGGATTTTCGTCTGATTACTCTTTCATCTTTTGTGCTTTAGACACTGGAAAGGATAGTTGATAGATACTTAAGGGATGGCCCGTTGGAAAGGTGTGTCATTCATGCAAATCAGTTTGCATACCAAGCTGGAAAATCGACTGATCTGGCCTTACACAATCTGGTCGGTAGGCTGGAGAAGACTAGATCAGCGAGAAGTGGCACTCGTGGCCTTTTTGGAGATTGAAGGTGCATTTAATTGCACCACAACCGACTCTATCAGACATGCCTTGGCTAGACACGGGGTTGGATCAATCCTAATAGATTGGGTCCTATCTACTCTGGAGGGTCGGGTAGCAACAGCTATGCTGAATCACGTAAGCTGCAGCGTGAGTGTAGCTAGAGGCTGCCCTCAGGGCGGAGATCTGTCACCCCTACTGTGGTGTATCTTGGTGAACGAACTCCTCGTTAGGCTCAGCAGTATGGGTGTCTACGTGCAAGCCTATGCTGACGACGTAAGCATAGTAGTTAGGGGGCGTTTTTGTAGAACAGTCTCGGAAATTATGCAGGGCGCTCTGCGCTCTGTGGAATCGTGGTGTAGGGAAGTCGATCTTTCTGTTAATACTGAAAAGACCGAGCTGATCCTATTCACTAGGAGAAGAAGGCTTGACGGGCTAGTCATGCCGACCTTCTTTGGGACTAGATTAATTTTGTCTCGGCCAGTGAAATATCTGGGAATTATCCTGGATTGCAAACTGAACTGGAGATAGCATGTTGGATACAAGGTTAGCAAGGCTCGCAATTCGATGTGGGCCTGTAGACGTGTTGTTGGTGTAAGGTGGGGGCTTAAACCCAAAGTGGTATACTGGCTCTACACGACGATAGTACGTCCATCTCTCTTGTACTGCTCCCTGGTCTGGTGGCCTTACATTAGAACTGAGACAACTAAGGCCAAACTCAATAAAATTCAGCGTTTGGCCTGTATTAGTATTACAAGCGCAGTGCGAACAACACCATTGAGTGCAATGGCAGCTCTGCTGGATCTGGTGATCCGCGGTGAAGCGAGAGTAGTCGCTCATCGACTGTGGAGTCAGGGCAGCTGAGCTTTCTTGAATCCTGTCAAGGGGCATACTGCCATCTTAGTCGAATTACAATGGGAGGACCCCGTCCTTCTAAGCAGGGGTGATCGTATTACCCCTAAATATCGCTTCAACCGCAAGTTTATTGTGGAGTATCCAACGAGGGAGGAGTGGGACGCCGGTAGCCGGGGACTCTCCGGAGTGAGCGGGCAAGTCTGGTACACGGACGGCTCGGTCACCGAAGAGGGCTCAGGTGCTGGGGTCTCTGGGCTTAGAACTAGGCTATCTCTGCCTCTCGGTGGATACACCACTATTTTCCAGGCGGAAATCTTTGCGATTCTGGCTTGTGTATCTCACATTCTGGATGCGGGTGGGCCTAGGAGAAGAATAACAATCTTATCCGACAGCCAGGCTGCAATGAAAGCACTAAGTGCCTGTAAGATTACTTCGTGTCTTGTATTGCAATGCAGGGAGGCTCTGGATTACCTCGCAGCGAGGCATCCGGTATCGTTAATATGGGTACCGGGACACGCTGGGATAAGGGGCAATGAGACGGCGGACACTCTGGGGAAAACAGCAAGCTCGTTGGTGCTGAGCCAGCTCTAGGAGTGACCGCGCATAAAGCTAGCAGGAAAATTGAGACATGGGTTGCAAGACAACACTCTCAGAAATGGAGAAGTATCTCCAGACATCTCCGATATCTCGAAGGTATTTGACAAGGTGCGACAGAATGGCCACATCTAAGAACTAACCCAAAGGACCTTCCCCCTCTTAGAACCTAAAACGGTTGTGCTATAACGTTTGACTTCAACATATTTGGAATTTGAGACATCGCCGCTTAAGTTCTAACACCACGTAACTAAAAAAAAATAAGATATTCATTTACTTGAAAAAGGCTACAGTGATTTGCCCAAACGACTTCACTATACAGTATTACAAGCACATGAGGTTTCATTTGCGGCCAGACAAACCTGGATGATTATAAGATATACGCTCGCTTCGATAGCGAATTCAAAGTTCTTCCTGCTCTCCTATAATGTGGTTAGTTTTGAGTTACGCTGTGTTAGAACTCAAGCGACGCGAGATGTTATCTTTATTGGACAGCTGTAGTCTTGGTGTAATTATCGGAGAATATCCATTCAACATTTTTGTATTATTCATGAGTTGGCAGCGCCAAGAAGCAGACAATACGACACAAATTTGATATTTAGTTTTACATCCTACATCAATGAGTAATGGCTAAAATTTCCAAAGTATTTTGAGTTTTATATTTTTATGGCGTTTCATGATATACCCAAAAATTTGCATATGTAATTTATATGTTGTGCTTTCCGAAGAGAGGTTATGTTCAAAGTTATAAATTACGAAAAACTGAGGAGAATTACGGGAAACCATCACCGCGCCCGCGTTATTGTAATTACTGTTAGCATGTACTATATATGGCTTGTAATTCGATAGTGTACAGTGAATATAATTATTCCTTAACTCTCTCATTTTTGAAATTCAGCAAATTTGTATATGTAATTTCCAGAATGGATAAGAAAAAGTGGATGCGCAACTAATTTCTAGCTTTGAATCTCAATTAGGTTTATTTGAGACAAGAATCCAATGGAATTATCATCAAGACATACAACTTACAGCTTAGACCTCCAGTAATGCGATCTCTGCAGCAGATTTTACATCACATCAGATCCAAACATTGATAACTGAAACCTCATGACTTTTATTCAACACGTACTACTAAGTGCTAAATTAAAATCTTGTAGAAAAACCTACATAATGTAAGAAAAAAAGTATAGTGTCGAAAAAATCGTTATAACATCACTTTTCAAGATACGTAATACCCGTGCCGGTCAAAAACGAAAAAAATAAATTTGATTCAATCTTTGGATCTTAATATATTTGTAAGCTTCCAGTCCCGGTAATTCTATGTACCTATTAGCTATATTTCACACATCATAGATTTACTCGTAGATTTGCCTTGAAATGAGAGAAATGTTTTCGATCCGTGTACTCCTGTCTATCTAAGCGCACCGCGTTCCGAACGAGTCCAGCTTATACATACATGTATCAGTACTGAAGCGCAAAAAACATACTGACCTTGCACGAAACGAAAGCGAAAGATAATTCGCTGCAGCGATGCTGCGGATGTGGAAATGGACAACGTTGCCACATGGTCGGCAACTACCAGTAGGGCAGGGAAAGAATGTCTATAGACTAATTGTAAACTTAAAAAAATAAAATTCCTCGAAAGCCAAAGGTATCACACCTGTAGTATATTCAAAACGTCAAAACAAACAGCTGCGCGCGCTCCAACAAGCAAATGAAAGCTGCAGTCAAGTGTCAATATTTGTTTTGACGTGGAGTAAATGCGGTTTTATTAGACCTTAGTTTCTTTTAGTCACTATACTTCCATGTTTTCAAGAATTGCCCTCCCGGAAATGATGTTTGTTATCTTTAAGCTTGTAGCAATGTCGAGTTCTGGGAGTCTCGTTCATGACAGTCTGCTCTTCTATGGGACAGATAATAGAATAGGCAGATTAATAATTGATCAATATTAATCATTCTAAAACGCAGGCTAACTATTGTACTAAAAACGTAATACCACCCTGTCCGAGGCTGCAATTAACGGATTCTGCTTTTCATGGAAAAATATTGTCTAGTACTATGGTGTCAATTTTGACAAGGAGATGGTCTGGCAGAAGCACACTGAGGCATTGAAAACCTGATTAAATTCAAGTCATTGGCATATTTTTTTATGTTTTCTGACTTGACACCGTTATTCTTGTTTTGTTTATTTTTAATGGTAGCTTATTCATTTATTTTTCAGAGCAAAGTTCCCACACATCCAATTGACTCTGAGCAAGTTGCGCAGTATCAAAAGGGAGATGAAGAAGATCGCAAAGCAAGAGAGCGACGTGGATTTATTGACCGTCGCTCAGGCCTACGTTTATTTTGAGAAGTTGATCCTGAGAGGGCTTATAAACAAACAGAACAGAAAGTTGTGCGCTGGTGCTAGCCTTATATTGTCTGCCAAACTTAACGACGTTAAAGGTAATAGTAATTAAAGTATATATAATCAATGTATTATATAATTGCCTATTGCCAACCTGCCGCAGTTTCACTTCGATGAAAGTTACTTTTAAAGAAATTTTCATCAACATCTCAATCAAAAGGTACTTTTATTTGCTCTTCACAACTCCGTTCTCCATGAGGACGCCGCGCGATGGTCCTACCAGATCGCCCCGCCTGACTTTGGGTTCCTATCCTAACTTCATACATCCAGAACTGGCCGATACGACGGCTCATTTGTCCCGAGGGTGTCGAGATTGTGGAACAATCTGCATGAGGCTTTTTCCAGTTCTACTAACCATACGCAGTTCAAAAATCAGAATAACAAAGTTTATTTAAGTTCCTCATAGCACCCACAGTGTCCTGGCATTTAGGCTTCGGTGTAAAAAAAGTAGCTCGAACAATTGGATTCAACGATAGTTTGTCTGAATTATAGTGTATATGACGGAGACTGAAATAAATCGATCATAATCTAATTTACGACAAAAAAAGCGTGAGGGATTGAGAGTCAACCTACTTGAAGCGATCTTTTGCTAAACTGATCTGGAGTAAGGTATGACATACAGTAATGAACAAAAGTATATAGGCAAATATGAATATTTACCTAAATACCTTTAGAAAACGAATTCATACTTCATTGCTCCGTAAACAAATGCGTTATTAGTAGAAAAACTAAATTCCTTGTTTTTACATTATCTGCAATGAACACATTACAAGTCTGAATATAAGCACTTTTTTATGAGGGACAAAAATGTGTAGACAAGTTCTTTTCAACATTAGTACAGTTTCGTGTCAGAAGAGGATTAGTTTGTGTTCAAGTATTGTCGAATAAGTTGAGTGATTTTAAGACCATGCCGCGTGGTCCAGAAATTTCTTTCGATGTAAAAACTAAGATCATTGAGTTATACAAAGATGGTCAACGTCAAGTCGACATTACCAAAAATTTGAAGCTGATGCGTAAAGCAGTTTGGGCAATATTGAACAAATATAAACAAAAAGGTATCTTGGAAGCCTCTAAGATAAGTGGTTGGCCTAGAAAACTAAATGCTAGATCAGTTAGATTAATAAAAGTAATTTCGTCCAAAGATCCGTTTAAAACCCCAAGACAAATAAAAGCCGAAATCGAGACAAAAGGAATTGTCAGTGTTTCTACGAAAACTGTAAGTAGAAGATTAATTTTGCACGGTTGCATCTTGATTGGAGCATCTGTGACTGGAAGAGGGTATGTTTCAGTGAAGAATCCAAGTTCAATATGTTTGGATCAGATGGTGTTCATTACGTTAGACGTCCTAGTGGACAAAGGTTGAAGCCCAAGTACACTTTGTCCACTGTCAAACATGGAGGCGGGTCTGTTATAGTTTGGGGGTGCTTTTCGGGGTTTGTGATGGGACCTATATTTGACTAAAGAAGATTATGCTGCTAGATGCGCATTCATTTTCTTGTATTTATAAAATACATTTTTAGTATGTAATCGCTCGGTGACTTGTTATTTCTGAAGATATCTGAAAATGTTAGTCACAAAAAATGAAGACAACCATACCCTGAACTTTGCCACTTCCTACAGGGTGAGAGGTAACTACGAGGCAACACAAAAATCTTTAAATGGAATACCCCGTATATTTCTGTACATAGACCTCAAAAGATTTGTCAAGGGGGACAACTTTTTAACCAAAAACTACTTCATCCCCTTCCACCCTCGCCCCCCAAGGCAAACATTTTAAATTATAAAAGGTATCTAGTAATAGCTTGTTTGAAAGTTCTTTCGAAGTCCTTTATTTTGCCGTTTGATTTTTAAAATCAGTCGATTCGTGTTCGAGATAATTAAAAAAATTTCGAAAATATTTGTTTATCTTAATTTGTTCAGATAGAAAACAAAAACACACGAAAATATCAGTTTTTATTTCAATACGTGTTCAAAATATTGCCCGTTAGTGTTTGTCAAATCTCCAATTCGTTTATAATTTAAAACGGAAACTACCAATTTAAATAGCACTTCGGAATATTAGACATGGCAACAAGCAAATAACAACCCGATTCTTTGCGCATTCCTTTCATCATCACAGATAACCAGGGCGAACTGTATTTATTGTTATACCTGTTTAGTTATTTTTTGCTAACGGAAAGAAAGAATTTAATTTGTTGTCAGTTGTCACCTTTGTAACAATCTTAGGATAGTGAAAATATAATATAATTTATTGATTCGGATTTTACTTCCAAAATGGTATACACACTAGCCGAAAGATTGGAAATGATTCTAATTTATGCTGCCCAAAATCAATGTGCTCAGCAAACTGCAGTCACATTTGACGCCAGGGGTCCGGCTAGGATAACTTCGCTTTGGTATGTTTTGGATCTTGTTACTAAATTTTACATCCATCCCAAGGCAACTATGCTACTGATTGCCGGGTGCAGCATGGGATTCCGGTATACGAAATGAATATGTATTAGGAAATAAGTTTGTCGCGGTAAATAATGCGACATGCATGTTGGCACTAATCCTGATTTCCGATTCTTCACAGGTGACACTCTAAAACTGCTGATCGAAAAGACCGAGACGACGTTCCGGGTGAACCGCAAGGAACTGATTGCGTACGAATTCGCCGTATTGGTGGCGCTGGAGTTTGCCCTTCACGTGCCCACGTGGGAGGTATACCCCCATTACCAACGGCTTCTGTACGACTCTTGACCCTCCAGCTTCTGCACTTCCACTTCAAAGCTGGTCGTTCTGCCATTTGCTGGGAATGGCGATTTGTGTATGGTGGTAGGGGTTGCGAGGGAGTAGTGGGGATGAAGCTCAGGTGAAACGTTACATAGGGAATATATGTATTCCAATAAAATTACGAGTAGATCAAAGGGCATTGGGTAATTTTGGCGATATTTTTTTCAACTCTTGACCTGTAATGAATAGTTTTTCTTAGGGCTGTCAAAGACATAACTACTACAGAGGCTTACTACTCGCCAAAGCGGTTTTTCAACACTCTAGATGTGTTTTGCTATGATAGCATCTTCAGGAGGAGATGCTAAGTATTATAAATTCCTAACTTGGGTATTACCTAGTAAAAAACAATTTGGCGAGCGGTCAAACTCTTTAGTGGTTGTAATTGCTACGTCAAAGGATCCCATATCATGTACAGTAGCGGATAAAAGTTTGGAAACGTTCTTAGTAATTTTTAAAGTGTGCTAATATTTTATTCTTTATTATTATGGACTATTTTTTTTCTCATATAGTTTGCTTAGTCTTGAGGATACAAATGACAATTTGTGTTTGTTGTGGTACTAGCCACAGCCACAGACTAGCATTAAAATACCTTCATTTTATTTTATGACCGAAAATCAGACGACAAAAGTATGGAAACATATTTTTTATTACAAAATTAAATACAATAACTCTACAAAAAGATTTAAAAAATCCCGTTTAGCTATTTTTTGGTAGCATACATTCAACACTGCCTGACATGCCACTCATAGATGACACCAATTGTTTACAGACGTCTGTTGGGATATTTTGCAAAATATTTTTTACATAATCAAATAAATCGTTTCTATTTTTGAAAGTTCTTCTTGTCAGTTGTCTTTTAACATGCTCGCAGAGATGTTCTATAGGGTTTAGGTCCGGGAATAGCGAAGGCCATGTAGGTAAATTCAACGAATTCGGACTTGGTTAGAAGAAGCCAAGCCCATATGTCGTTAAAAGATTGTTTGTTAGCAATATCAACAGATCATTGTTTACACAAAATTTGACCTTGAACGAAAATTGTATTCTCTTCCCCGAGTAGACATGTCGTGCGTAATATTTTTTTTAAAGGTTAAAATCAGATACGGATTCATAATGTTGAGGGAAAACAATGTTCAAAATATGAAAGAAGCTACCTTTAAATGAAAAGAGATTTTATAATTACGGCAATAAAATATCAAGAATCTAATCTTAACTAAGAAATATGATCGAAATAAGCTCAATTCGCGTATATTACTTTTTATCAATTTGCCTAATCACCTGGATGGGTAAATCTTGTGAATGCTGACAATGTTTCATTGTGATTGTAAGCAATAAATTAGCCTCTTCTACAGAAATGATGTTAGGTTTGAGTTCCAATGCTGCGTTGATTGCTAGACACAGTTGGGTACAGCTTAAATCGAGTTCAGCATTGTAGTGATCATTAAAATTGATTGACATCGAAGTTTGACTCTATATGAGCATGCTTGATTGAAATCGACCATATTAAAGCAATACACAATGGATTTTATTGCTTGCACTTTAGGTTGTATTTGATAATTTTATTTTTTGCATGGAACTTGAGTCGGCTCTGAAAATATATTAATTAACATCATGGGCACTGTAACAATCTAACCCATTTAATATAAACATAAGGATACATTAATTAATAGAACACCCAAAACCCAAAGGAAAACAAAAATAAAGACAATAAAAAAACATTTATTGATAGTACAATGCTAAGTCTATACATAGTATGTATATGCAAGTATGTGGATAAAACATTACCAAAGCACAATAAAAAAAAAATAAAAAAGATTGCATTGATTTATTAGTTCACTGATGTTGGAATAGCAAGCTTTTTGTCAACTTTGATCTGATCCTTTGATTTGAGTCTTTCAAACTATTTAGTTCGTGGTAGATTCTTATACTATATTTTTGGAGGATCAATTTTATAGTGTCAAAAACATGATTTGTATCATAAATATGCGAACCAAGTGAATCTAAGGAAGATAATGGTATATTTTGCAGTGACTTTTGCATTAATGTGGGAACAATGTTTTTCTTAAATATACTCCCACATGCCTTAGCTACTCTGATACTTTTTTCTCCTACTTTACATATGTCTATTAAGAATTTAGATGCATTGGTCAATGTTCCAAAAGTTTTTTTAATTTGCAACTGTGACAGAGGTTCTTCGCTTTCTAAAAAATTGAGACACGCGTCACACGTGATGCATTTCTTCAAGCATTTAACTACAAAGCCTGCAATGTATGCAACAACATCTTCACAATATGTAGTCAGGAGAGCTTAGAAAGTCCATTTCATTAATTTTTCTGGAAACATCTTTATATTCCTCATTATACAATAAGTTTTCACCATTTTCATTTTTAGACAATGTAGAGCAATGTAATATGCTTAAGCGACTGCATTAGCATTTTCACTACCTTTTAAATCCGAGTGAATGAGTAGTCTTTTATAAATGTGTTGAAACTGAAATGCAGTTGGATTATGATTACTTCCTCCTCTGTTTCTAATTGCACTAAAAAAGATTGATCTTGTGAAAAAGTATATGTTAGAAGCAAATTTAAAATGTTTGTTTCTATGTATTCCTGATATATACAGTGTGAGTCTTCATAAAGTGCACATATCAAAATCAGGGAAACTACACTCTATTTCATCGACGGATAAATCATCAAAAAAACATGAATTTGATTTTTTATGAATATATGAATATTTTAAAATTTTTAGTAGCAGCTTCTAACCATATTGATATAACTCGTTACAACTTTTAAACTAAATGTCCTATCATATTGGAATACATTTTGTAGTGATTGCTGGTAAAAGGACGTGCCTGAAAAGTGAACAATTCCAGGAAAAGTAATGACATCCATTTAGAATGAAGAAAATTTTGATGAAAATCTTTTTTTTTTATCATTTTTACAATAATTTCAAATTTTCTATAAATATCGTCCCTTGTACCCTACCTTTTTTTATTTGTAAGTTATTCTACATGTTATCAGCGTTATAAAAGTAAAAAATGCACGTTTATTTCTCAAATGTAACAGTTTCTATGAGTGTTTATAAAAAAGCCCATGCGCATCGTCTTGCTAGGCACCATTGTTTATCATGTAGATACCTTTTTTCTGTGATTCAATGTAGAGTCGCGCGGGCTGAAGTACGAGTGGGGAGGCGGGTCCAGTTGAAAAACAATTGAATGTTGGGCAGTTAGGCAGCTATTTGTGTTTCTCCTGCCAACTTTATCAGATTCGTTTGCTACATATCACGCTTTCGCTTTTTGGTCGCGATGCCACGTATAAGTGATTTCCCGCCGGCACACATTGCCGATATCCATTATTATTATGGAATGTACCGAGGGAGTGCTAGAGCTGCTTGCACAGCTTCTCTAGCTGCATTTCCAAATCGACGCCCTGTTCCATCAGCCCGTAACTTCCAAGAAGTACATAGAAGACTGGCTAACACTGGACTTGGTTTGCCTCGAGATCGCCGCGAACCAGGTGTTATTATTCATGTTGCTATGGAAGAAGCCATTTTGGATGATTTGTTTGCTGACCCGACTACTAGTACGAGAGTACGTTTGGCGTTACGTCATGGCGTATCCCAGAAATCGGTTTGGCGCATCTTGAGGAAAGCAGGGTTGCATCCATACCATTATCAAAGGGTGCAGCACTTGCATGAAGATGTGGATTGGCGTCCAAGGTGCGTTATGTCTACATGGATTTTAATAAAAACAAGAGACAATCCTGAATTCCCGAAAACAATTCTGTGGACAGATGATTCTCAATTCACGAGAGACGGCATCGTGAACTGTCGTAATTTACATAAGTGGTGCCCAAAAGATGAAAACCCTAGGCTGAAAAGGGCTTCAACATTTCAAGTGAAATTTTCTGTAAATGTGTGGGCCGCACTGATTGACAACTTTTTGATTGGTCCAATAATACTCCCGAGGACATTAAACGGAGAGAAATTTCTGGAGCTTTTGCGGACTGAACTGCCCTTGCTGTTTGAAGAAGTGTCGCTACAAACCCGTCGAAGAATGATGCTTCAAATGGATGGATGTCCTGCCCATTACTTGCTGATTGTCAGGTCTTTTCTTAATGAAAATTATCCAGGCCACTGGATCGGTCGACAAGGACCTGTTGGGTGGCCGGCGCGTTCCCCAGATCTCACACCTCTCGACTATTTTTTATGGGGGACAATGAAACAAAGGGTGTACAGCAGTTCCATAAACAGCGAAGCGGAACTTGAAGAAAGAGTTTTGCATGTTGCAAACGAAATCAAAAATGATCCCGAGATGATTCGTAGGGCAACTCATCAAATTTCACTTCGCGCTACAATATGTTTGCAGCAACGGGGTGGCCATTTTGAACATTTGATGCATTAAGCCAAAATGATTATCCTATAGACAAGTCTATTTGATTTTATTTGTTAAAGATAATGAATGATTCATGTAGGTTAATACTGTTGTTTTATTCCTACTCTGGCGTTGAACTGAGTTCACTGCTTTTTGAAACGCTGATTTAAAAACTTGTATCTAAGTAATAAACTTGCAATTTTTCACCATTAGGAAGCTAATAACATGTAGAATAACTTAACATTTAAAAAAGGTACGGTAAATAGGACAATTTTTATTTAAATTTATAGCATTTAATTTCGTGGAAATTTTCACTTTACTGGTACGGCCTACAAAATTTATTCCAATATGATAGGACATTCAGTTTAAAAGTTGTAACGATTTATTTAAATAGGGTTAGCAGCTAACTCTAAAAATTTTAAAATATTCATAAAAAATCAATTATTGTTTTTAATTTTTTTTTTTATAATTTTTCCGTCAATAAAATAAGGTGTAGTTTCCTTGATTTTACTATGTGCACTTTATGAAGACTCACACTGTATTTTGAATGCTAGTGATGGCAACCATAAAGCCAAGGAACCCAGTTTTCCTTCTTGTATTCAATACTTGCATTCCATTCAAATTTATACCTTCAATTAGACGTGTGATGCTAAAAAGGAACCTGCTATTTTTTAACTGCTATCTAGTGTATAAAATTTTAACTGCTATGCGATTCAAAATTAGCAGCTATTTGTGTAGCAGTTAAATACTGTGAACTGTGATGACGGGACTAGACTAGACCGGCGTTAGCAGTGGCGACGCAGACTGAGCGACCAACCTATCGAGTTAATAATGCTAATGTAGGGTTGAGTGCGAATCGAATACTACCTGCGAACTGCGATTTACTACTGTGAATATTGAACACAAACGCTTAATTTAGGGATAAAATTTCACTAACCGTTACCGGATGATTTTTGGGTGTTTTAGTAGAAAATGTGGAATATTTTAATACTTCTATTATTATGTATTTTACTTTTTTATTATGTAATATCATTGAAAGAGAAAAAAGAATTTCATTCAAAACAGTTATATGTTAATTAAAAAAACATTCTAAAATTTCCCAGAATCTTAAATACTAAAAAAGGTATATAACATATAAACATAATAAGAAATCACTCAAAATAAATGTTGGTTTGCATTTAAAAACATTATTTTTTTAACCTTTTCTAAACTAATACGGCTTCTTCGCTCTGAAATAATTATTCCAGTTTTTGAATAGATACGTTCACATTCGACTGAACTAGAAACTGTACCAAACTTACTTCGAGTAACATGGCTTAAGTTTGGGAAAACTGAAGCACGATTTGCCCACCATTTTAGAGGATCTTCGTTCCTATGTAAAATTTCTTTTTCCAGGTAGCGGTTAACTTCTACAATGGCACGTGCTTGCGGACTTTGATTAAATCTTGGCTGAGATGACACTGACTTATTTAACTGTTTCCATATATCAAATAACGGCTTTTTAGTTTCTGACTCCTCTGTTCTGGACGTACTAGCAGTTGCCACTTCTCCCGCTTCATCTTCATTTATTGTAGATTTTGCTCTTATATTTTGAGTCACTAAGCCAATAACGGCTTCTTTCGCCCTATCAGATGTTCCTGGCTTAATAAAACCTACATTTTTAAATCTGGGATCCAAAAAACCTAGATTTTATACTTTCTAGTAGTTTTCCAATGAAATTTCTACTTATTCCATTGGAAAACTGACTACTGCTCATCATTTCATCGCAGACACTTTGTAATCCATTGGAGGTGATGATTACTAGGGATAACATTACATATTTCTCCCCGGACATTAATTCAGTTATGTCATGAAATGGTTTGAGGATCATTATTAGTTCTCTTATGAACGTCCATTCTTCTGTGGGTATTACCGGTAGGGAGATTGAGTCCATTAACGCTAGTGCTGTTCTAATAGCTTCTTCTAACTCAGCAAATCTTTCTAGCATTAAGTAAGTAGAGTTCCATCTTGTAGCTATGTCTTTTTTTAATTTCTTTGGTTCCTTATCTTGCTGTCGTTGAACATGATCTAATTTATTTTTAGCATTTGCACTTTGCTTAAAATGTGTCACAATTTCACTGACTTTATTTAAAATGCCTTCTTTGATTAATATTAATGCATCTCCCACTATTAAATTAAGCGTATGTGCATAACATCCAAAATGTCTCCATTTTAAATCAGTTGTGATAGCTTTTTTAATATTTGCGGCGTTATCTGAAATTCCAAGTAAAATCGACTATTCAGATATATTCCAATTTGATATCACTTTTCTAAGATTATCTGCTAAATTTGTGCTGCTGTGACCTCCCTCATATCCAACACATTCCAAAAGGACAGATTTCACTTCAAATCTACTATTTATAAAATGCCCTGTTACCGCCATTACACTATGTGTGTTCCGAGATGTCCAGCAGTCAGTTGTTATGGTAATTGATATAACATCCCTTAAAATGTCTGAAACTTTAAGGTGTATTTCTTCAAATATTGATGGTAGAAGAACATTGCTTAACGTTTTTCTTGTTGGCAATTTGTACGTCGGATTTAAAGCGTGTATTAATTCTCTAAAACCACTATCTTTGATTACGAGATTTAACAAAAGGTGATCTAATTTTTTTGTTGGATCATTGAAATTCTTTTTGGGGCGTGTGCTGACATGACCTGTTGTTGTAATTTTCTAACTTCAGATCGAGCAGAACCAATTGCGCCTAATGATGAAGATGATTCACTGGAAGTTAATGGCAACGACGACTCATTGATGGACGGGGGTGTTGGAGTGTTCTCACTAGAGACTTCACTAGGAGTTGAAGAAGAACCTTCTACAGTTTGAGAACTACTTTGTTGCACATCTCTTCTTTTTTGAAAACGTTCTAGTTGGCCCAGTTTCACAGATTGATGTTTTCTAACAATATGCGATTTTAAACTGCTTTTTACCCAACATGCAACACTTCACCATCTTCGAGAATAGTCCAAAGTGCTATATATTCCACTGAAATATTCCAAAATCCTCAAATCTCTGTGAAAATAGCACGAAAAACACACGTAAAAATAAGCAAAACAAAGCTTCCCCTCAATTCTACAAAGCCGCAGTATAAAACACCACAAATCAGCCCCGCTGTTCTTAATTTGCCACCACAGCGTTGCCATGCTTAGTACGCACATCGTAGTCTTCAGGAAATATCTCTGGGATATAATGCATAATGCATATTTCTTGTCTTCGGTTCTCATTTCAGATGTATTTTGAAATGCTGCGTACGAAACCAGAATAAGAATAGCTCAAGACATTTTCGGAAATCGCTGTGATGTTTATTTTTTGAAAAATTATCATATTTGTTTTAATTTTTGCGAGTTCCGTGAAAGTGATAGGTTTTGAAGCTATGATGACACTGCATCAGTGGAAACATTACACTATGAAACATATTAGCGTACTGAAACAAAGATTTTCTTTTTGGTGCAGGTGTTACAAACAATTTATAACTGTACATACACATGAGTTGTTCTATTTGAAGATACTACATATTGGAGACAAATGCATACTCTTTATTTAGTAATCACCACGTATAACATTATATGATTATTTTTGCACTGCTCAGTGTTATCATCTTTTGATTGCGTGAAGGCAGTTGTTGTTTTGAACAAGATGTGACAACACTGCAGAAAACAGGTAGCCACTCAAGTTTGAAGTCGCGCTGGATGATTGATACAAACAAATCCTTTGTATTCGAATTCGTTGGGTACAGTAAAGTCTTAACCAGTCCTTTACGAATTTTGAGGTATGCTCGGGGTCATTATCTTGCTGGAATGTCCATCATAAAGGCATTTCTTCTAATTTTGAGGTATGCTTGGGGTCATTATCTTGCTGGAATGTCCATCGTAAAGGCATTTCTTCTTCAGCAAAAGCATGTGCATCTTTGTAAACTTTTTGATCCATTTTCTCAACAGTTGGTCCCGTTCCAGAACTAGAACAGCAGCCCCAAACCATGGTGTCGCCTCCACCGTGCCTAACTGTTGGCAACTGATTCTTTTTGACGAATCTTTTTCGTATTAAGTTAAATAAGTTAAATTTTTTCATAAAACTGTATTCCATTGTTGTTCTGTCAAAGTTAGATGAGTTTTAGCAAATTGAAGCCGAGCAATACGATTAGTTTTTTTTTAAATGAGAGGCTTCTGCACTGGACGCCTACCAAAAAGCCCAAAATCCACCAAGCGTCTCTGCACTGTTCTGATAGAAAGATTTTCGGCATCCTCTTCTACTATTATTTTGAAAATATGTGTGGCTGGTATTCGAAATCTTCATGTGACAAACATTTAATGTAGCAATTCAAAACATAATCGGTTTTTTCTCTCTTCCGCACCTGGGCCGCGTTTCGAAATCGTCCCTTTGTTCATTTTTAATCTTAGAAAAATGTCAGAGAATTTGAATATTGATAAGATAAACCTTGTATTAGTGTGGGAGCCAAAGGTAGACTTTAATATTGATATTATCTGTTCCCTCACAATTTTAATTTAGATATATGAAATAGTTCATAATGATGTTAATATTTGTTTCCAAACTTTCGTCCGCTACTGTACCTATGCATAAAATAATGCCAACACAATTGCTCTAAATAGTACTGTTTTCGAGATATTGAGGAGTGACGAAACATGAGGATTGCTATATTTGCTAAAATATATATTACCATTGATTATTGTACTGTATACGTATTATTTACGGGTAATATAAGTTCAACGTATTTTTTACATAAGAACTAGCATGGTATGCATCTGTTCGTACTTTCCAAAAGCAGTACTTGGATCGATCAGAATATTTTCGATTATCGGTGTCGAAACAAACGCGATGATATGAATTTATTTGTTCGTTACTTTATATGGTGCTGTGGTGTCGTATCCCTATTCCCTATTCAATCCTCATTTGATTCGTCCTCAAGACAAACATTTGTACTCGATTGCCTTTTTTTCAATTGTCGCTGCTCGTCTAGATATTATTTATGGCCCGCAGGCAATAAGAGTGCGGGAATTTGATGATTTGCGCACTGGAGTTAAATAAACACATAAATCAATTTTAAGCGGATGAGCAACACAGTAATAGTTTTGGTTATAAATCCATGGCGTCATTGATCAGCTGTCTTATGTAAAAGTTATCACTGGAAAATTTTGGTAATAACACTGCTTTGTAGTGGAGTTTGCGGTTAAACAGAATTAAATTATAAGTCCATAATAGTCCATAAATGGGCAAATTATCTGAATGTGCTTTAAGCACACTTCTCAGAACTTAACCCTAGACTGCATAGGCAAAAATCGCACCTGTCGTTGCTTACTTGGGGTTACCTGTAACCCCATCTATATAGTTCCCAAAAACATGGAAACAAACAAACAATAATAAATAAAGACTTTATATTGTAAAGTAACATTACAAACTACAATACCTACTTTAAACAATCAGTGCATATTTCAACTCTATGTGTATTGCAAACGGCCTTAAAACATTTGGCACATGCAGTTTTTGTCTTCCGACCGTAGAATATTTTTTATGGAAGATGTTAAACTTCGGGGTAGAGGTTTTGTTAAACGCCGCTCCATATGGGGGTCTTGAAAGTTACAACCCAAGTTCGAATAAATATTTTCTTCTGACGCTTTTTTGTCTGTCCTGCTTAGCAATTTGGAAAATTATATTAGAGTTAACCCCTGCTTGGTCCAGCATTCCATAAAAAAAGCGCAGTGGCCATCTACGTATTTTGCGAGAAACGGAACTAGCATGAACCATTTGGTCGAAGGTGTCGACTCCTCCTTTGGTTGAATTGTAAAAATTTATAATCTCGGGCTTCAGATTTTCATCTACTACTTTACCAGTATGCATTGTAGATAGTAAAAGTACCGATTTAGATTTTTTAGGAGTAAACGATACTAAAGTTTTTTCATTATCGAATGCAAATTGGGATGTATTCACTTCTTTTTTTTTTGTTTGGAAGAAAAGATGGGGGAACTTCCCTTTTGTTTTTACGAAGAGTTCCCACAACTGTTAAATTAAAATCCGAAAGCATTTTGTCGGCTAATGGAACAGAAGTGAACCAGTTATCCATTGTTAAGTTACGTCCTGTTCCGTGAATAGACTCTGATAACTTTTTTACATAGTAATCTGGGAGCGGTTCTTTATTTGGCCGGTGCTCTTTGCCAATATATGGTATAGCAGATATCATATAAAAAGTGCGCGAATCGCACATTGTCACAATCTTTAGACCATATTTATCTGGTTTTGAGGAAATGTAGACTCTAAAGGGACAATTGCCGCGAAATCCTAGTAACTGTTCATCAACCGTGCAGTAACTATGAGGAGTATAGTGTTGAGTACATCGAGATATAAAGATCTCCCATAAAATGCGAATAGGTGAAAATTTATCGTCGCGGTTTCTTACTGTCTTATCGTCAAATCTGAGACATGAAATAAGAAATCTAAATCTTGTTTCACTTATAATACATCGATATATCTCTGGTCCATATTTTGACCACATTTCAGCAGTAGTTAAGTGATTGTCTTTACGGCATCCTGATATATAAAGCAGACCTATTAAGGCTAAAATTTCCGTGTCATCTGTGTTATTGATATATCCACAATCTTGACTGTAGTTGCTTTTTTGTCTCCCAATCTCCATATTGGTATACAAAACAATCTTGTTTATTACATCATCGCTGACGAACAACTTCCATGCTTCTAACTCTGTTGATACATTTTTGGCAATACCCTTCGGGCCAGGAACACGTACAACTATATTTCGCCGAGGCGTGCGAGTTCGATATTGAGGCTCGGAGCTCCAAACGTGCCCATTTTTTCCTCTTATTATCTTCCTTGTAATCTCAACTTGATCTGCCGTTGCTTCTTCTTCGCTTTCCTCATCCAAAACGTTAGAATCACTTTCAGACTGAACTGACACATTATCTTCGTAATCGGAGCCACCATTATCAGAATCACACTCATTTTCAAGTTCATCATTCCATCGCAAAAGCGTCTCCTCAAATTTGGGATCACCCGGTCGCACAGCCATCTACAGTATATTCAGATAAGAGATAGACCGGACATAAACAAGACCACGTGATCATCGAACGCTGTAACATTCGGCAGGGACGTATTAAGAGTCACGCAGTACATATTTTAGATAGTAGATGCTGCTTTGCGTAACTTTGTAGTAAAATAGCACAATTCGATGTGTATACGATTGGTGATGGATATAGGATCATGTGGGGGTGGGGTAAGAAATATATAATGATGTAAATATACATAAGGGTTTCAAAATTTTCGCTTCGATTTCCAGCTTCGGATGCCGTCTGATGTTTGGTGAAATACAGTCGAATATAATCTCACAATGGCGTTTAAATTAGCCTAAATTAAAAATAATCGTATATCTCTTAAAATTGCTTTTAGAATATTGATTAGTATATTTTTTGATTTCTAGGTAAATATGTAACCAAATTAAAACGTTCAAAACGTAAAAAAATGTGCATGGTTGAACATTGTCAGAAAGTAGATTCTTGAATAGGTTTTGCCAAAATGGGTTCAAAAATGTCAATAATTAATTAAAAAATACAGTAGCTTTATAATTACTTATAACTTACCGAATTTGATGAACGACATCTTTTATTGGAAAGATGAGCTTGATGAGCTTTCATCATCGCTACTGCCTGAAGCACCAACGTCAATAATGAATGGCTCGACTTGTTCCTCTAAAATATTGTCCAGTTCCCACATTCTCTTTTCAACTTTGTCTTTCACGTGCTTAATATAGTTTTCCCATTTTTGCGCTGTTATTAATTCTAGTGCTTCTTTGAAAAGTCCTTTGAGGTCACAAAATTTAAAAGTTGTATTGTGCTTAGCTATATAATTTTTAACCTCTGCCCATATGAGCTCACTGGGATTGAGCTCGCAATGGTATGGAGGTAAACGGAGCACATTTTTATTTTGACTTGCTGCCATTTCGTCAATGGCGTATTTTTGATATTCCGCCTTGTGATCCTTGACAATTCTTAATAATTGTACTTTCAGCATTGCTTCTTCAAAGTTGATATTTTTCGAGCGGAGCCAATTTTGAACATCAACTTTCCTTGAAGCCGTTGTTGGGACCTTCTCCATTCTTCGAGAATGATAAGGCGCATTATCCAACACAATTACTGCGTTTTCCTCTAAGTTCGGTAAAATTTTTGAAAACCACTGTTCAAACGATTCGCCATTCATTTCCTCGTGGTAATCTCCAGTTTTCTTAGACTCAAAGCACCACAGACCGTCAACAACAAATCCATCCTCACTGCCAATATGGCAGATAATGAGCCTTTTCCCTTTACTTGGAAATCGAAGTACTAACTGGTGTAGATTTATTTCAATAAGCGAACCTTTTTCAAATGTTTTCATCACATTCAGCGAAAAAACATTGAGACATGAGTATCAGATTGCTATAATTGGGATTATTTAGTCATATTGAAAGAAAGAATATTGAACGTCGTATGATTACTCAGCGCTTCACAATTTAATTTAAAGTTATAAACCTTTAAAAAATGAATGATCAGGAACCTGAAATACGCGCAAATATTAATATTAACAAATTATAACTTTATAAAGCTTAAAGTATGAATTAAAATGATTAGAAATATTAGGAACGGTACACAATATAAAACTTAGTAACTTTTTTTAAGTTTATAATATTCGACATATTTTAAGATTATATTAAAAAATTATTGAAATATCGAAAACACATAAAAACATGGCTTAAAAAAGTTCTAACAAATGAAAATGATCCATCCATCCATCCAAACATCCACGCATTTTATCGAAAGTTATAAAAGTTTTGTTACTTGTAATATGTTTTATCTGCCCCCTGGAATTAATGTTTAGAACCTTGTTCCCAAGGTTTGAAAAACATCCGATTGTTGTCTATTACTCGTATTTACCTGCTGGATTTTTTAATCCGGTGGACCGTCCATCTAGAAAGGCCCTCCTGGATAAAGTTACAGAATCATCAACCCATACTTTACTTGTAGTGTGTCCTGCGTTTACCCATGTTTCATCAAGGTAATAAATCTTCCTGTTTTGATTTCTATATTTCCCAATTTTTGTTAAATAATCCCTCCTCCATAGCACAATTTCTTCTCTATCCAGTAGTAAACTATTACGACCCCGTTTTTTCCATTTGAAATTTAAATGCTTCAGTAACGCATGGAAAGTTGATCGTTTGAAATTTGGCAACGTTGTATCTCCATTTACCTCCTGCAGTACTTTATCTATAGTAGGTATTTCATTCCTAAAGAAGAATTCGTGCACTTTCCTCCTAATCGCATGCTTATCAGCTTCATCCAATGATTTAACAATACTTTTGCGATGTTTACTGGTCATTGGCTCAGAAAAGGTGTGATTTTTTTTGTATTGTCTTAACACATTAAACACTGATGCGCGACACACCCCAACTTTGTGAGAAACCTTCACAACAATTTCTTTGATGGTTGATGCCTCGTTCTCCTCGCGCTCGATCTTATATATATTCAAAATGACCTCTTTCATTTCTGCACTCAGGTGTCTTTTTTTAGAGCGTTTCCTAGGTGGACTACAGGAGTTTACAACTTCATCGGCAGTATCTGTACTACTGGGCATTTTGCGCAAGCAGTTGATAACAATAACAATCAATAACAAGGTATAACAATAACAACGACAAACTCAACAACTTAATAAGATAACAAACGAAAACGTCCAAAGAAATGTCAAATTGCAATGATGCACACGACATACGTAACACGTCTGAACCTGAATGTGACTCTGCCTTGATACGACTGCTCTGCCGCTCGGCATAGGCATTTATTGCGAATTGACCAATGAGGGCTCCTGTTTTACGTCGAGACGGCGGCGTTAGCGTGAAAATCACCCGAACCTTTTGTTTACATCCGGTCTATCTCTTATCTGAATATACAAAAATAACGCTACTTGTCAATAATGCAATAAAACTTTAACAAACGGTCCTGCTTACCTGGGGTTACGCGCCACCCCACAACTCACAATATCAAAAAACGCCTTAACTGAGTAAACACCTATAACGCACTGTCAACAGAGCGTGACCTCACATGAACATACCAGCAATCTCGGCGTTGCCAACTCCTCGGTAAGGAAATGATTAAAGAATAAAATTTTGCTGGGGTTACCGGTAACCCCACTAAGCATTCTAGGGTTAAGCATAGGTGATTTAATCGGGTAAACATGTGATAAACTGTCATTTCCAGAGCCAACTATAACAATATTAGTTTTTTTGAAACAACTTCTCTGTGTATGTATGGCATATCATACATTTTTTGAAATTAGAATTATAGCCCATTCAACTTTGGAAAAATCCAATATGGCGTCTATAAAAAATAAAGTTGATAATAGACGACGAGATGAAATGTCACGTTGGTATTCTAATTATGCCATCTTGTAGGGGAGAAAAAGCGGCAATGTTAATATACTTTTTATTTTGAAATACTATCTCGAATAAAGCCAGAAAAAATAAAAACGATTTCGGGGAAAGTCGGTTTCCTTCGTTTATTTCCGTATAGAATCGATAAAGTTATTGAATGTCTCTTTCGTAATGCGGAAAAGGTGGAAGAATAAATATTGATATATTGTGTAAACAAAGCATCCACTGTTAAAAGCTTTGGACTATTCACAACATTTTTAAGCATAGAGGGTATTAGTAAATATCTGGCACTATTTCTATTCTGGAAATATCCCTGAATAATGAATTCTAAGTCGTTTGTCAAAAACATTAATCCGCCCAGTACCAGGGCCTGTGAATTTGGATTGGCAAAATCCATGTTCAGTCCTTAATAAACTACAAAAACAAAACAGTCCCTATAATAAACAACTGCAAAACAAGGAAGACAGTTGAAAACAACGCTCACAAATAAAATAAGAACATCTTGTCAACTTTTGGTTATAACCAATGCATTCAAGCGTTCTTACTGTACATCTGCCATTATTATAGCCGAAGGATAACCATGGAGAATACTAAAATATTTTGAATCGGTTATAGATCCCTAGCCACGAGAGAAAAAATATGTCAAAACACATTTTAAATTACCTACTACCGTTTGTAAGTTGAAGTGAAGCCAATTATTTCATATATGGTAGGAGGCTGTTGGAAATCTTGCATCCAGGGTTTTGATCACGTATCTATGTGTATTGGTATCTCGGAAAACACGTTATTTCTTCATATTCCAGACACCAAAATGACGTACGTATGAATATTTTGTATCAGTAACGAGAGAAAATCTGATATTTTCACTAGGATTTTTAGAAATACCTAGGTAAACTGATTTTATGCACAAACAAATATACCGCTTTCAAGGGTTCATTTGAAGAATGAAAAAGAGTGTGCTCCTAATACCAAAATACCTAATATTTGGCAGCCACTTAAACAAAGATTCTGCAAATCTCGAATATTCTAATAGCATCTTCCACTGATATTCGCTTTTGCACTATTTATGCACTTTTTCTTATGAAAGTTTTCTAGTGGGTTTTTTAGAACATTTTCTCTGTCATCCTGTGTTCCACTGGACAAATTATAGCAAAGTGTCTTGCACTTTAAGCATGACTTGTCTACAAATCCACGGTCCATAACGAGGTTTTATTTTTTAACGTTAAAAAGGACTATGATATTATTTCTCTTAATTGTACGTCATGTAACTAGACTTTCGCAAAAGAAAAAACAAAAAAATCATGACAATTAGGTCAGGTACACCATTCAAATAAGCTGCCAAACAATTGACAACTGATGCCTGCACTAGTTTTGTTCCGCCATGATTGCACGTTTGTTGATATTACCCTACACCGATACCGCCATTGCAATAATCACATGCATACTGAAATGCACCATTGCAAGCCAGTGGAAAACGCTATTAAGTATTGCTAGCTTTTTGCCATTCCCCACAACGTTTCACTTTGACCATTGCTCCCCACGATAAAAATTTGTCTTACTTTCACGTCACAATAAAATAATGATTATTTGATTCAAATTATGTTTAAGGGAGGTTGTATTATCAACTTCCTAAGGAAGTAGTAATTCTAATTAGTTTCATTTATTTATTCAGTCGAATGTAAACATTTGGAGGGTATGTTCATAATTCCTTTCATAGGTAGAAATTTCAGTTCCAAAGTCCGTGGAAGTAAGACTGATGAAATTGAAATT